GACCAGAAAAAAAAATAAATTTTTAAATGGGAGGGAGTATAAATTAAACTGAAGGGAGGGGAGCTGAAGAGGGGGGAGCTTGGCTAAACGTCCAAAAAACCGGATGTTTAGCAGAGTAGGAAACCAAAAAGAAGGAAAAATAGGGGAAAATAGGAGGAGAGGGAAGGGAAAAGGCAAAAAGAGAAACAAAATTCAAATACTAAAAACTGTCAATTAGAAAATAAAAATTGAAAAAAGGAAAGAAAAAGAAACGAAAAAAGAGCACATATTTAAATGTTGGCACTCATTCATTTATTTATATTCTGTTTTGTTGGAATGCCAACATTCATAGCGTCACACACAACAAAAATGCGTGTGCCTGGGTGAACGTTTTTAAGAAATAAAAGGAAAAATGTTAAAGTGTAGAAGGAAGGCTGAGGATTTTTTAAAAAATGTTTAAGTGCTTAAGGAAAAAAAGAAAAGAAAATGTGAAGCTTTTAGAATTAATAGGCTCAATTATTTTTGAGAAAATTTATATAAATTTATTAATGCCGAAAATTAGCATTTAGAAGAAGAGACAGATTTATTTGAGTACACCTCTCACCGGGATATTTTTTCCGGATTTTTTTTAGATTTTTGATTCATTCTTTGTTAAAATTGAATAAAAAATGAAATTCAGTATATTTTAGCCCCTGACCACAGGGAGGAAACATCACTAGTACCACAAATACATTAAAGGTTCCATTTTATAGTCAAAACTAGTGTAGCATCCCAAGCCTTCGGAGGCGGGAGTGTCGGATTTCAGGGTTTGCCGGGGTAGAGCCTTCGGGGTTCTGGTGGGACGGGGCGGGGTTGCTACACTAGTCGAAAGTCCCTGTCTCGTGAATACGGACTTCCTGTCGGTCATAAAAATGTTTTGATAGAGGAAGTATAATTTAAACACACGGGAAGGTATTTAATACGGATTCATGGTTGATATGAAACTCCTCTTGGACCAAACAAATTTTGCCTTGATCCAAAAAGAATCTTTTTTCAAATCCACTGCCATACAAAAAATAAAAAACAAACCGACCTTTTCTCTTTTTTTTTCTTTTATTTAGTCACGTTTCCCCCTTCCCTCCATTTATTTCTCTAGTTGCTGCCAACCGCATCCACTATTTTTTTAAATTTTTTTTCTCTTTCATTTCCCAGTATTGACACTTACGTAAATAAATATATGTACATGTATGTATTTATTCATAGCGTGCGCCAAACTTTTCTTTCTCTTTTTTTTTCATCTTTTCGATTTTTTAAATTCCCTGCCGTTTCAATTTTTTATATATTTTTCCCCCCGCTCGCTCACGTCGATTTTTAATCCGTTTCTTCATTTAAATTTACTTTTTTTTAATTGAGAAATTTTTATGTTTTTAATAATTATTTGTTTTTATTACTTATTAACTTGTTAATTATCCCCCTCTCCCCCTCCCCTTCCCACGCCCTCACTCATTTGCCAACATTTTACATGTGTATCCTGCCGTTTCAACTCTTGAATATTGTGAATTCCCGACGAATCTTGACTCCCAAAATTGCCAATTTACTTTTTTTATATTGGCATGATAGCTCCTTTGGTAACTTCCGGGAATCACTTTAGAAACGTCCGGAAACTATAATCACCAATTGTGGAAGCATTTTGATCCAAACGAGCAAAATTTTGTGTGTATTAAGCTTGCGGTGAGGTTATTAAGTTTGGTGAGATATCCACCCTACTACCTGGACAACCATTCAACAAAACTTCAGAAATTCCCCCTCTCTCTACCCCTCTCCTGCAAATTAAAATACTAATTAAAAAATTAAAATTCTCGAGCTTAAACAATCAATTTCGTCATCATTATATTACATCTTTGTATAAAAAATTTTTCTTCACTATTTCCTATCAATTACACAATCTTTGTTTAATTTAATTTAATTAGTGAGAGAAAAAAATATTTTTTTTAATTTTTTAAGAAATCTATCAAACATAATCAAGTAATTAATTACTTACTAATTTGTCTTCTTTCACCAAAAAACGGAAATTGTTAAAAATTAAGGTTTGGTCTCTTTATTACTCTTTAATTTACTCATCTCTCCAAGTTGTTAATTAATTTTAATTTTATATACCTATAATTTATTTATTTGACTAACAACAACATTAATTTGTCCAACTAATATTTCCAACTATAGTAACTTTTTTTTTAATTTCCGTATTTTTTTTTGCTATAGAATTTGGTACTTATTTAGTTTCCCACCCCCAGTCAGTTTTTCCGAAAATTATGTAAAAATGGTCAGTCTGATCAACAATTGTAGAACCCATCGAGCTGTGTCGAATGACAACAAAATCAACGAAATCGGACAAGATTTGACAAAGTTATGACATTATTTAGACCTACCGGAGTCGACGATCTATGTTATATCTTTGTCAAATCAAGTCGGATTTCGTTGATTTTGGTCTCATTCGACTCAGCTCGACGAGCTCTTTCAAATGAGCTTTCATTTGTATAGATTTTCGTCTTTATGATTTTGTGCCCCCGTGGTTCAGGGGTCTGTATTTCGGTCAAATCAAGTCCGATTTTGTTGATTTTGGTGTCATTCGACACAGCTCGATGGGTTCTACAATTGTTGTTCAGACTGACCATTTTTACATAATTTTCGGAAAAACTGACTGGGGGTGGGAAACTAAATAAGTACCTAGAATTTTTTTTATTTTTGATTTTAAATAATTTTTAAATATTTCTGATTGGTATATTTTAAAGAGTATTCTGCTTCTTATCTTCCCCTGAATAATGTCTCTTATTTGTTCCAATCTAATCCAGCTTCAGTTTCAAGTTACTTTAATATGAGTCAGAGAATAACTATGTGCCTCAAAAAGAATTTTTTAAAATAAAATTTAATTTTTAAAATATTTAAAAATACATTTTTTACCTTTTCTACAATATTTTTTATTTTCTCTTCGACCTCCATTTATCTTTTTTATATACCTTCTCACGCATTTTTCAAAACTTTTTGTATCGGCCGCCCTTTCCGCCTATTTTACTCTAAAAATTGTTTTTCTTTCCGTTCAAACGTCCATTTTATATTTTATTTTTTTGCTCGTTTTGTTGGTTAACTAGATGTATTTTAAAAAAATATTTTGGTGGCAATCAGTCGCCATTTTATTTTATTGTTTGTGTGACTTCATTTTTAATATTAAAAGAAAATTTGTGTTTTAGTTTTTCTGGTCTAAAACACAAATATGTTTGAAGTTCTGATTTTTTAAATGTTTTAATTTTATTCTGATTTTTATACCAACATCTTATTTAAACTTGTTTTTGTGTTTTGTTTAAATTCTGATTTTTGTGTTTTTGTTTGTTTGTTTTTTTCCGAATTTAATTACAACCTTGCTTCTGTGTTTTTATTATGTTTTAATGTTTTGTTTGAAATTGATGTTTTGCAATTATTTTGTTTTAAAACATTAATTGATGTTTTAAAATCAAAAATACATTATTTCATAATTAATTTAATTTCCGTTTCATGGTCATAAATGAATAATAAATATTAATGCATCACAAATCTGTTGTTAAAAATATTTTTTTCTTGTAATGCGATGCTAATTCAATTTTTTTAAATTTTATCTCATATTTCTTTGTTTTTTATTAAAAATAAAAGATTATAATTTTATTAAAATTTTAATAAAAAAAATATTAAAAATTAAATTTTTAAAAATAATTTTCTTTATTTTTCTTTATTTTACATTAATTCCATTTCCATGTTTAATGACGTAAGTTAATAAACTTTAACTACTCTTTGCTTATTATAGTATTTCATGTTTTTATTTCTGCTTTTGTTTTTTTAAACATTTACTTTTTCTCTTATAGGTTGTGTGTTTTGTATTTTGGTTTATTCATGTTGTTCACATACCGTTTCCTGTTTTATTTGATATTCTGAAAACAAGTTTGGGTTTCTTTGATAAATTTTATTTTATTTTTTTTATTCTGTTTTTGTGTTTTATATTTTGTTTTTTTTAAATGTTTTAATTAAATTCTGGTTTTTTGTATTTTGATTAAATTCTGGTTTTCTTTGTTTCATATTGTTTTATTTAAATTCTGATTTTTCATTTGAATTCTGATTTTGTGTTTTTGTTATAGTTTGGTTTGTGTTTTATTTTAATTCTGGTTTTTTGTATTTTGCCGAACAAGTTTTAATTTTTTGTATTTTTTCTTTTGTATTTTACTTTAAATAAACCTTATTATTTTAACTTTCTTCCTAATTGCCTGCTTAAATAAAAACAGGAGATTTAAAAATTCCACGCAACCAAATAAATATTTTTTATTATTAATAATAATATTCTTTAATGAACACATTTGCCTTAAAAGTATTTATATTATTTTATTTATATTTCCTTTAATTTAAAATTTTTTTTGTGTTGCCATGTGAGCGAATTTTACTTAAATTAATTTTTTTATTATTTTTTATTTTTTAAGAACACGTAATTTAAAAAAAGTTCCTTTTAAATTTTAATCCTTGTTTATTATTATTTAGGATTTTACTTAAAAAAGTTTTTTTTTAATTTTTTTTAAAAAAATTTATTTTTTCAATTAAAAAAAATTTTTTTTCAATTAAAAAAATTTTTTTAATTTTCAATTAAAAATTTACTTTTGCAAAAAATTTTTAATAAAATTAAATTTACTATTTTTTATCTAATTTATTAATTTCTTCTACTTAAATTCATTTTTACTCATTTCCGCTAATTAATTTAAATTTTAATTTTAATTAAAAAATAGTTTTTTTAGTTATTATAATATTAAAAAAAATTTTAATTTGCCCAAAAATTATTAAAATAAAAAATATTAGAGATGTCACATTTCCCATTAATGGCAGCAAGATTGCCTCCAACACAACCTCAACAACAACAACAATTTACTATACCAACAACAACAGTCCATTGTAATCTGTCCTCATTACGACCGCCTGTTCAGGTATGATCAAGTTTATTTTGTGTTTTGTTTGTGTTTTGTTGTTTTGTTTAAGTTTCTGATTTTGTTTTATTTAAATTCTGGGTTTGTTTAATTTTAGTTCTGACTTTGTTTGTTCGAATTTTTTTTGTGTTTTATTTAATTTTGTTTTTGTGTTTTATGTTTTGTTTAAATTCTGATTTTGTTTTTATTCGAATTCTGGTTTTGTTTTATTTTAGTTCTGACTTAGTGTTTTATTTAAATTATGCTTTTTGTTTTATTTGTTCTGTGTTTGTTTCAAAAACATACCTATATAATTTTTATAAATTAAGATGAACAACTTCAACAATAACAACATCAACAACAATGTTTCTAATAATAATAACAACATTCCTTCTTCAACATCAACATCAGTATTCAATCCAAACTTTTCAACCTTTTTAAATAATTCAACAAATAAATTTGTTTCCCCCAATTATTCTTCTTTTCATGAACGTCCTACTGCTCAACTTCGACGGGCTTCGTCTGCTTCAGCTTGTAAATTTGCTGTTGATCGATTAAATAATTGTAATAATGTTGGCAATAGACCAGCAAGTTTACAACATCATGAATTACTTTTTTATGAAAAACCCCAAATTTCTTCTCAACAACAATTTAGTGAAAGGAGAGCATCAATTACACAACAACAGCAACAACCTCTTTTACCTCCTTTACGTAAATTTGAAAATTTGGAATTTAAATCAATGGAAGAAAAAGAAGAGGAAGAAGAAAGGCGTAGAAGAAGTTATAGTAATAGTGGAATTTTAACAAAAACAGAAATGGTTATAGATGCTGACAAAAAACTTGAAATTTTACAAAATCAAAGAATTGCGTTGAAACAATTACAAAGTCAACAACAGCAAGGAGAAGGGGTGTTACAGGCAAGTTATTTTGTTTTACCTTAAAACTTGAAACTTTTCCGGAAAGAATATAACTCAGAATATAACTAAAAAATTAAATCAGAATTTGTAATTTTAAGTAAATCAGAATTTGTAATTTTAAGTAAATCAGAATTTGTAATTTTAAGTAAATCAGAATTTGTAATTTAAGTAAATCAGAATTTGTAATTTTAAGTAAATCAGAATTTGTAATTTTAAGTAAATCAGAATTTGTAATTTTGACTATTTTCAGGTCTATTAACACTCAAACCGCCCCCTTAATATCTGTCTTGAACCCTTCCACTTTTTTTCTTAACATTCTTCACAAATAAATACATAAATATTTTTATTTTTAATCCTTTGCGGATATACTGTTCATTATACATAGTTATCGTTAAAAAAATTTTTCTGGCTTAACATTTTAACTTTTTCACTCTCTATCGCGCTAGATATACTACTAAAGGATTATAAATAATACGTAAAAAATGTAGAAAGTACTTTATGCCTTTTTTTAATATTTTATAGTATTGAAAAGAAGGTCGATTCGCCCCTTAAAAATATTTTCGTTTAAGATCTCTGAATTTTATTTCAAATAAATTTCTAAAATATTTAAGCATAATTCTATGGATCAATTACACAACTCTTCTCCATTATCTCAACGTCGTAATAGCACAAGCTTAATTAATCACAAAACTGTTGTAATTAATGGCAGCAATGAATGTCATTTTTCCAATGCTATTTCTTCGCCGCCCTCTTTGACTACTAAAGGTGTTTATTTTTAAAATCAGAATTTGTAAAAATATTACAAATCAGAATGAATAACAAAAAATATAATTTTGTAAATTTATCAGAATTTTAAAATCAGAATTTGTAAAATGTAAATTACATTTATTAGAAAATTACAATTTTAAATCAGAATTTTACAGATCAGAACTTTCAGAATTTTAAGTCAGAATTTCTATGTTAGGAATTTACAAATCAGAATTTTTATTTTCAGAATTTTTAAACCAGAATTTGTAAAACTTAAATTAATAAACTTAATTACAAATCAGAATTTGTAAAAATTAAATTATTACAATTGTACAAATCAGAATTTGTAAAAGTTAAATTATTACAATTTTACAAATCAGAATTTTTATTTTTCAGAATTTGTAATTTTTAAAATACATTTATTATTTTTACAGCGGAAATTCTACCCCCTACATTAACTAACTATAACAACACAAATAATAACAATACCTTAGTTTCACCAGTTTCTTCATCTTCTGCCATTTCCTTAGCGGTTTCAGCTCTTTTTGGTTCTTCTACTAGTACACAAGATAATTCAGCTTGTTTTAATTTAAATTCTGAACGTAATAATTTATCTTCAAATGACTCCAATGTTACCCTTTGGCAATTTTTGTTGGAATTATTAACTGCTAACGAGCACCCTCATTTGATACAATGGACTAATAATGAAGGGGAATTTAAGGTAAAATTTGAAAATTTAATCAGAACTTAACAAATCAGAATTTGTAAAAATGAAAGTTTACAAATCAGAATAAATCAGAATTTTTATTTTCAGAATTTTACAAATCAGAATTTTTTCAGAATTTTTAAATCAGAATTTGTAAAAATGAAAGTTTACAAATCAGAATTTTTATTTTCAGAATCAGAATTTATTTTTTATTTTTTTTAAGCTTCACGACGCCGAAGCAGTTGCTCGTTTATGGGGAATACGTAAAAGTAAACCAAACATGAATTATGACAAATTAAGTCGAGCACTTCGCTACTATTATGATAAAAATATAATTAAAAAAGTTATTGGACAAAAATTTGTTTATCGTTTTGTTATGGAAAATAATGGAGGAAATGGGGGGAAAATGTTAGAAAGTGGAGAATCTCGACCAAATTCAGAATTATTAATGAATGCAAAACAACAGCAACAATTACAATTATTAGTTAATAATAATAAAAAATCAGAAGCAACAAATAATACAACGGCTATGGATAGATTATCAGCTTTTGAATGTAAAAAATTGGAATTATTTTCAATAAATTACGAGAAAAAATTTTTTTACAGGCTCAACAACACTTGCACCAACACCAATGCAACATCAAAGGAATGCTTCTGGTAATAGACATAATAACAGTATTTTAACTCCTTCTCCATCGGACAGGTAATTTGTTATTCAGAATTTTAATTACATTTGTAATTTTATAAAAATCTGAATTAATTATAAAGTCAGAATTTTAATTACAATTGTAATTACATAAAATCAGAATTTGTAAAATTAAAACCAGAATATATTACTCAGAATATATTGCTTTTTATAGTTATAGCCCTTCTGGTAGTGTTGAAAGTAGTAGCGGTGTTAGTAGTGGAAGTTGTCTTAGTTCTTTTAACGGAACAAACATTTGTCAAATAAAAATGGAGCCTACATCTTCTTGTTTTCCACAACAACAACAATATGTTTCAGCTCCATTATTACCTTCAAATTCTGAAAAATTAATTGTTAATGGAAGTAGTAAGGGAACACGGAAACGTAGAAGTCCTTCAGATAAACACCAGAATAATCTGCCAGTAAAGCAACATTCGCCACCTAATGGAAGACATGTATCATGGATAAATTCGGGAACAGCATTTTCAGCTTCTGTTGATATTGCTAATAATAATGGTGATTTTTTGATTTTTTTAAAATCAGAATTTTTATTACAATGTATATATTAAAAACCAGAATTTTTTCTAAATTCTGATTAAAATCAGACATAAAAATCAGAACTTTCAGAATTTTATAGATCAGAATTTATAATTCTGATTTTTTAAATCAGAACTTTACAGATCAGAATTTTTGTAAATTCTGATTTTTTAAACCAGAATTCTATAGATCAGAATTTATAAAATTCTGATTATTAAAAATCAGAATTTTTTAAAATTAATTTTATATTAGACTCTTATTCATCAATGGCTTCCATCGACCAGCGTCGAAATAGTAGCCAAGATGATCAACATCAAGGGTCTGCACCCAAAATAGGCTGCACATCAAATACAGGTACTTCACATTATTTCGAAACATTTTTTAAAAATTTTATTTTTAAAGGTCCTTCTCTTTGCCGTCGTGCTCGTCCACACCCTCTTGATCTAACTTGTGTAAACAATGCAACAGACACAAATTCATGTAGCAACAGTACATCAACAACTACAGGAGGTGGAGGAGGAACTTCTTCAACTACATCTACTAATCATTTGATTTCTGGCAATAATAACAATAATATTCCTCAAAATTCTTCTTCACTTTTAAATAATTTAAATAATCAAATGGTAGCATCTTCCCCTTTACTTTTTGCTCTACAACAACAACAAAATAATCCTCAAAATAGTCCTTTACTTTCTGCAGCAATTTCAGCGTTAAGTAATTATACTGGAGGAGCATCTCCTTTAGCAGGAACTGGACTTGCTTCACCTTTCACGCAGGTTTAATTTATAACTCATCCGGAAAATACAAATATTAATTCCGAAAAGCTTAATTTTCTATCTAAAACAAAGAATATTATTTTACAGGCTGCGGCAGCGTTTCAATTGGCAACAAATTTTGTAGCTAGTTTGAGTCCAAACGGTTAATAAAATAATTTTTAATATTAAAATCAGGTTTCAAAAATCTGAAAATTATTAGAAAAAATCAGAAACCCGAAAAATAAAATCAGAAATACATCAAAAGAAAAATCAGAAACTTATAAATTACAATTATTTTTTTAGTTTCAACAACAACTAGCAACAATTCAAATAATAACAATAGAAGCATAAATAATTCCATTAATACATCATCAACTCCATCAACAACAGCAACAATAATAACTTCTACAAATATCCCAGTTTCAACAACATCAACAACTACACCACTTTTTAATTTCCCTAATAATACTCAACAACAAAATAATGATGAAATATTTAATAGATCAAAGAATCTGGCTTTTAATAATGCTTCTATTTCAAATGCTGTTACAACTTCGCAAACAACTCAGTATAATAATAATACAAGTTTCTATAGTCAATTACACAGTGCTTTAACTACGCCGTTAGGAAATCAGGTACTAATATTTTTATTTTGGAATTCCGGAATTTACAAATTCTGAAAATACAAACTTGAAACCTTTTCCGGAATTTACAAATTCTGAAAATACAAACTTGAAACCTTTTCCGGAATTTACAAATTCTGAAAATACAAACTTGAAACCTTTTCCGGAATTTACAAATTCTGAAAATACAAACTTGAAACCTTTTCCGGAATTTACAAATTCTGAAAATACAAACTTGAAACCTTTTCCGGAATTTACAAATTCTGAAAATACAAACTTGAAACCTTTTCCGGAATTTACAAATCATAATCAGAAATTGTAAAATAAATAAAAAATATTACAATTCTGACAGTTTTACAATCCATATTCTTTAACAATTTAAAGGTTCGAACACCACAGCAAAACTTTTCCAATTCTGCTGTGATTTCTGCAATGATCAATCATTTAACGAACGGTCCAAATACTCCTTTTGCACAACAACAACATCTTCAACAACAACAACAATCACTATTTCAATTTCCTCCTTCTTCAAATATGGCTATAGCTCATACATTAGCTATTTTATCTTCACCTGGTAATTCCTAGTTTTTAATAGAAAATTTATTATACTCAGACCTTATTTAAAAATACACCCGTAGGGCCGAGAAAACTTGTCTTATAATGAGGTGTCTTTTAAATAGGGTGTATCTTATAATGGGCGTCTCTTAGATAGAGGGTATTTTAGGAGGTATATTATAATGAGGACTGTATTTTAATCATTTTTTCCATTTACAGGACTTCCATTAAACGGGCAATCACCATTTCCATTTGTCAATCAAATGGCAGCACTCCAAACACCAAAATTTTCAACGGCCAGTCTACTTCCAGGCAGTGCTGCTGCTTTAACGGCCGCGTTAACTGCTGCTCAACGTTCTCCAGATTCATTGAAGACACCGATGGGCGGGTTTAGTTTTGAGTTTGGACAAGCATTAGCTGCTGCACAAATAGCTGCTGCTTCAAATAAAAAGTTTGAATAGAAAAAAATTTTTTTCTTAAAATGATTTTTTATTTTTAAGATGACAACAACAAAGATTCAATGTCTTCTTTTTCGTCTCCTAAAATTCTATAGTATATATGTATAAGCAACAAACAACAAACAAACAAACAAACAGACAAACAAGAGAAAAACAAGAGGAAAACAAATAAACTTGTGTGTTTTTCTTTTAAACAAAAATACAAACACAACACACAAACATTGTTTGTGTTTAACAAACACTTGTGTTTTTCTTTTAAATAAAAACACACAAACACAACATTGTTTAGATGCGGGTGTTTATACAAACAAACAAGACTTTTTATTATTTGTTGTTTTTGAGACTTTATTCTTGACACACCTATAAAAATACATTTAAAAATTTATTTTTTATTTTTTTTGCATTTAAAAAAATTTATTATTTTTATTTTTTTTCATTTTAAATTTATTGATAAAGCCCAAAAAATTTTATTTTATTTATATATATCCTCTCTTAATTTATTTTTAAATAAAAATCTTTCCTTTGTTAGAGTATTTATATCTTCATTCACTTTTGTATTTTTTCTTATTTGTTCTGAATTTTAAAAATAAAATCAGAATTTTCATTTTAAAACTTTTTCAGAATTATTAAATAAATAAATTAAACTTAGAATTATTGAATAAATTGATTAAAAAGTTTGAACAGAATTTTTATTGGAAAAATTAGAATTTTTACAAGTTTGTAGTCTTGGAAAATTAAAGTTTGTAATCTTGTAGCAAATGTCGAAAGGTTAACGATAATTTAGTGAGAAAAAAAAATAAAAATGAATATTACAGTTAATCTTTACTTTGAGATACACTCTCTTAGGGAACTCTAACCTTATAACGATGTTTCTCTTATAATGAGGTAGGTAGGAGGGTATTAAATAGAGGGTATCATTTAGGCAGCTTTCCCAGTCCAGTTGTCAAACAATCTTTAATTGGAGTCAGGGGTGAGCGCTTTGCGTCTTGCGTTATTTGCGTTGATTTTTGGCGTTGTGCGTTCTGCGTCTTGCGTTTTTTGGGATTGTCCTCACCCCGATTAGTATCTAGAATTGAAGGGGGGGAGTATCTAAAAATAAGATTCAAGTATAAAATCTGCTGGAGGGTACCTCCAAAACTCTTCTAGAAGATTTTCCAATGATATATTTTATTTTAAAAATTTTCCCCCATCTTTTTGAAAGCTTTTTAAGCAGGTCCAAAGTACATTACAAAGCTACATGTTAGTACGCAATAGCACTCTTTTTATTTTATATTTTTTTTTCATTTCCATCGCCCACCACACACTCATCATTTTTTTCCCCCACGAGGTCGTCGTCCCCAAGATTACTTTTTGCATTATTTTTTATTTGTAATGTTTTTCCTGCAGTTCTTTGAGTCCTTTATTTTAAAGAAAAATAAGTCGTGGAAAAATTTTCTGCCAGCCGTTTTTTATTTTTTTATTAGAATTTTTGCCTAAAAGTCAACACATTTTTGTTAAATTTTTGGGTTCAGTCCCCCTCTACAATCAACTAACAAAAATTAGAGGTGGATCAGAATTCTGATTTTCGCCTCCAATCCAATTTAGACACTTCCTTCCAATCAGAATCAGGGGTGAGTTGAGAAAAAAAGAGTCGGGTCGGGTTTCTGATCTACGAAAAAAAGACGAGGTTTCGGATAACCGAGTCCATGCCTGCATGGATCGTCCAAGCCACATCATGCCACATCCATGTCCTCCATCCTTTCCTCCATCCTTTAAGCATAATCATTCTTTGACGATAATAGAGGAACAATTCGAAAAATAATAATGTGATTTTCTGACAAATTTAGCCTTTTCAGAGCTTTGTAGGGGTTCTATCAATTATCTCCTATTTATCTATACGAATTTAATTTTTTTACTTCAATAAAAGTTTCTTTTAAAAAATATAAATATTTTATTTAACTGCAGCTGCAAATTAAAAAAAAGTTCTGTCTTTTGCTTCTGCTTCCACCCCCTCTCCCTCCCCATTTTTGCTTAAGCATAATTTCTGAGCCTTTTTCTGATCCCTTGTAGCTATAAATTATTCAGAAAAATATTCTCTCCTACTTTCTAACATAAGAAAATTATAAGAGAATTAAAAAAAAAAGAATTTTTTAAGAGTCCAAAAGTTTAAAATACGCGTTTTTAAATATAAAAATAGTGTATTTAATCCCTAAGCTTAATTTTTGTAGTAATCCCTTAATTTGAAAATAAAAGGTGGTTTATTAATTCGGTGACACATCCTTCTACAATTTCCCTCAGAACTCTCTTTTTACTTTACATGGAAAATTAATTGGCCCTGAGGGGGTGATAGGTATATGGTAGAGAGCAGAGATGGGCCTTGCCGCATTTTAAAATGGCGGAAGACGGAATGACCTTTTTTGACCCTTCCGGAAGGAACGCGGAAGGGCTAAAATAGGAAACGGAAGAAGGAATAACGGAAGACAGGCAACCATCCTTGGTTAAGAACCTGCTACTGAACATAGTTTCAGTAATAAAATAATAAAAAAATCAGACTCAAATGGAAAGAAGTGTTAAAAAGGAAATTATCTCTCTCTTCTCATTATCTTTTGCCAGTTCACAAAAACCACGAGACTAGAAAAATAAATAAAACATCACTTTTCTCTCTTATTTTAGTTTATTTCTGTCATGTAGCATAGGTATTTAATTTTAACCTTTTTTTGATCATTTATTATTAAATACTGATCTAGATTGTACACTCTTTTGGGTATGAGAAAAGTATGTAAATCATGTGTACGTAAATTGGAGGTATTACTTTAAAGAGAACCCTTTTTTAGTGGCCGAGTGAATCAGACTCAAATGGAATATTTCTGACTAATCAACTTTAAAAAGTACAATAGAGTGTACTGAGATCCAGGTGTCGAGAAATCTCTTTTTCTTCTGAAAATTGCTCAACCTCTCCCCGTGGGAAAAATTCTATTGATAACTCTCCCCACTCTCCCCCAACAATTCTTATTTGTCTTTTTTGCCTCAGACTCAAATGGAATATTTTCTGATTTTTCTTGCTAAGACTCAATAACCGAATAATTTTTCGAAACGAAAAAGATTTTTGAGTCTTAGAAAAAATTTTCAAAAATTTTCAAAAATTAGTCCATTAGAGTCTGAAATAGTCAAAAAATAAGAATAAGACTCTAATTGCTTTGTTTAATCGATTTTCTATTTTTTAAACTCAAAAATATTTTTTTCTCTTTTTATTTTTACGTATTTATTAAATTGTTTCTTTTCTTCTAATTTATTTTCTTTTATTTTATTTTTTTCTCTTTAAATATTTTTTTTATTTTTCTCGTCCCCATTTTTATTAATTTTTATTGGGCACAGCATTCGCTTTTTACCCAGTAATCTTTTGCCTCTCTTCTTATATTCTTTCCAATCTTATCAATATTTTTAATAATTTTATTTAATTTTTGTGTTAATTTTAGTTAATACCTATAAGAGAGCCCATTTTTCTTTTTATTTTTTGGAAGTAGACCATGGGGGGTAAACTACACTAAAAAATTTTTTTCTTTAAATTTTTTTTGTGGTCGTTTTGGGTACTACTGGCTAGCTGTTTTATTTAATAGAACCTTAAAGAGAATCTTATTAGTCTCCCTAACCTTTTGTTTTGTTTTTTAAGTAACTGTTAATCAATAGAAAATTAAATTTCCTTTCCCTTGTTTTTTTAATACTTTAACCTTTTTTTTGATATTCACCTTAGGACTTGTATAGGTAAAATTAAAAGGGGAGGTGTAGTGGTAGAAGGAAGAAGTGCCCCTGAACGTTGACAGTATTAACTAATTAATTTTTTGTTAAAAGTTTTGGGAAGTGGACCATGGGGGGTAAACAACACTAGGATCCTTTTTTGCTTTCTTTTTTGTCTTTTCTGAAAATTTTTCAAAAAAAAATTTTTTTTTCAAAAAATTCTTGAAAGAAAAAAAACACTTGAGTGACGTTCAAACGCTTTTTTTTGCATAAGCAGCAATTTTAGCAATAAAAATATATTCTCTGAAAAAGCTAGGTAGTAGTAGGTATCTATTTATTTACACACACAAACCATTCTTTTCTCTTTCTCTCTTCGTTTATCTATCAAAAAAAGAATTTTTTTAGTTTATTGACTAGTTTTGTTCAATAATTTATTTTTTAATTTTTATTTGGCTTTCCAAAAGATCGAAAACCTTTAAATTAATTTTTTTAATTTTTTTAATTTTTAGGATAATTAATTAATTTATTATCCTTATTTAAATAAATTATTTTATTTATTTCTTCGGGAGACATCTTTATTGACAACAAATTTAAAAAGGTTTGGAAGTTTTTTGGAGGTTTCAGACGTCGCGATTTTTTCTTTAAAAATTTAGTCCCTACTTCCTTCCTCTTGTTTACTTCCCCCCAAATTTTTTTTTGAAATTCCTCAAAGGACCACCTTCCCTATAAATTGTCGAGAGGGGAAGATGTTGCGTCACTCAGATATTTTTTACTTGTTGACCTTATTAAAACGTGTTAAACAGACTTTATTCTTGTTTACTTCCCACATTTCAGTCAAAACTCCTCATAGGAAACAAACACCTTCCCATAAAATTGTGGAGGGAGAGGAGGGGGTGAGGTTGCGTCACAAGAGGCTACTTTTCCTGTTTGTTTGTTTTCTTGTCCTTTTACTGACCTTATTTTGAATGAGGTAAACAACAAAGGAGGGAGAAGGGAAGTGCGGGAAAACTTTTTTAAGGAAAAGCGCGACAATTTCTCAGAAATTTTTTAAAAAATTTTTTTTTTTTAGTTGACACAGAAAAGGATGGACTATCCAACAGAACAACAACTTCCAGTTCAAGTTCGCGATATCGTCAAGAAATTTCGTGTTCCAGTTGACCGCTTGAAAGTAATTTCTGATGATATGGTTGCTGCAATGAAGAGAGGCTTGGAAAGTGGAAGTGGACGTCTGTCGTCGATTGCAATGCTTCCGTCTTTTGTGCCAGCTTTGCCTGATGGGACTGGTATTTTTTGACGTTAATTTTTGTGGGCTTGTAGGGACAGGGAGTCCATAGTTGCTGAGGGTTGAAGGATTGTTTTTTGGGTTGTTGTCTTTACAAGTCTTTACAAGTGCCGAGTTTTTTTGGAAGACAATTACACGGGTTTCTCACAGACTAGAATATTTTTTTGCTTTTCCCTCTTGTAAACGGCACCAACTTTTGTGGACTTTTTTTTCGTACTCCTTCCTGATCCTTTTGTGTTTTTAAATAATTTTTCTTTTACTTTAAAGAGATTGGCAATTATTGTGCTATTGACTTAAGCGGCAAAAATTGTCGTATTCTTTTGGTTGTTTTTGAAGGACCAGGGCATGAGCCTGTTAAAGACATTCAAAATTTTGTTGTGCCTAAACAAGTTATGTCTGGAACTGGGGAGCAGCTTTTTAATTTTATTATCAATTCGCTGAAAAAGGTTTTCTTTTTTTATTTTTTTGGTAGAGTTCCAAATACTAGATTTAAGTCCTAGTAGATAAACCGATTTACCTGGAGGAAACAAAAAAAGGGACTGTAAAGTAGGCGAAGTCGTCATCGCCTGCACGATGCGAGAGGGGTAGATGGGGCTAGCAATCCCGGTGGCAATGTAAGGAAGAAATTAGGCTATGGTCCTATCCTTGACTTGCTATTCTTCCTTTCCTTAAAAAAGAAGGAAGAGGAATTACCGTTTTACCTCCCTTTAAGTAAAGAATAATTCCTTGCCATATTTTGCACCTTAATGTTGTTTACCCCCCATAGATGTTAATTTTAGATATTAAAATGATTATAACTTTGTTGGTTTTTTAAAGGTTTTGCGCGATGCCAAAGTTGAAGATCAAACATTTCACATTGGCTTCGTTTTCTCATTTCCTTGCGAATTAACCTCTATTCGTGAAGCTCGTCTCCTTTGGTGGACAAAAGGTTATAATATCCCAGACTGTTTGCAAAAGGATATGGTTACTCTTTTGGATGATGCTTTGGAGTTGAGTATGACTGTTAAGGTTTGGAAATTTTTTTAAAAGTTTGTGTCTATTAGAAAGGTTTGGGTTTGCCCCTTAAATGGGTAAATTCTGCCTCCCTGTCCTCTATTCTTGTTTTTAAGACAGGAGATGGAAAGGTAACACGTTAGGACATTTTTAAAACTTTTGTCTAAAAGGCTTGGTGGTGAATGTATTACATTCTAGAAGATTATCGACCCCTTCTAGACTCCGAGTCTCCCCTTGACCACCTCTAGACCCCAAAATCTTCCCCAAAGTCTTCCACAAAATTTCCGGAAGTCAATTTTTGTCGGGTCTCCTATTGTTTTGTAAATTCTAATAAAATGATTTCTTTTTTAGGGCAGAGTCAAAGCCATTATGAATGACACTGTTGGACAGCTTGCAGCATCACATGCAAAATATGGAGATGAATGTATTGCTGCTTGTGTTATTGGATATGGGTATTTTTTTGAAATAAATTTTTTTTATTTATTTTTAATTTCAAGCTGCAATTCTGCATATTTGGAGGATGTTAAGAATATTAAAAAGTTTGATCCGGAGGAGTTCAACTACAGACATGAGAAAATGGTTGTAGTGACTGAATGGGAGGAATTTGGACGTCGAGTTGGTTTTTTTTAATTTTATTGTTGTAAGGAGGGGAAGAGCTGGGGCTATAGCAAGGCAAATTTAAAACGCTAGGAGGGTTTTGGAAGGGTATGTAAAAGAAATTATAAGAAAAGCAGTTATTGTTAGTCGCTATTTACAAAGCCACGGGGACAGCGAAGAAACTGTTTGGTCGAGAAACTTTCGCTGTCCTTGTAACTCGATTAATAACTCCAAGGAAGGGTTTGCAGTTTTTCGATTCTGCTAAAAATTTGTTAATGTTTATGTAAAGTTCCTAAGGCTGTGCGTAGGCGGCGTGGTGTAATTAACACATTAGTCCGGTCTATCGAAGATGCTCGTTCGCTCCCAGCCGCCGTATAACCTTTTGCACTAGCTGACGGAGAGAAATAGTTATAGGCCTGCTCGTTGTAATTAAGAGGCACTCAAATTTCGAGAATTTGTTTGTCTTTTAAGCTCAAACTTAACAAATTTTTAAGTTTCTTTTGGATGAGTTCTTTTACAATTTTTGAATCTTGCATTCTTTCATTTTTATAAATTCAGAAAGAAATGGACGACATTATGACCGAATTTGATCGCGAAGTTGACGCAGCTTCTGTCCATGTTGGCAAACAAGTGTATGTTTTTTTTAGATTTTTTTTCAAAAAATTTTTTTTTCTTTAAAGTATTGACAAATTGACTGGTGCTCTTTATTTGGGCGAATTAATTCGAAGAATTCTGCTTAAACTCACCAAAGACAAAATTCTTTTTTGTGGTGAGAAAGTTGAAGCATTGGAGAAAGTTGATGGATTTCCAGCTAAATATATTAGTGAAATATTTAGGTTTTTTTGAAATTTTTTTAATTTTTTGAAAACTTTTTTCTAGTGAACCTGGAGAAATGCGTAAAAATTGCCGTAAAATTTGCGATGAAATGGAAGTTCAGAACCACGGTAGTATTGACTATTTTATTATGCAAGAAGTTTGTATTGCCGCGTCTGAACGTTCTGCTGGCGTTGTTGCTGCAGGTTTTTTTTGATTGGAAAAATTCTTTTTGAGAAACCAATAAGTTTAGGTGACTGTTTTATTGCCCCATGGTATTTTTCGTCTTTTAAAAAGACGAGTTTTTCAAAAAAACAGTCTTTCTTTCTTTCAGATTGTGGGAGGGGAGGATATCCAAAAATATTTTTAATTTATTAAGATGAATTTTGTCCTTTTAAAGATGGGGGTGGTTATAGTAAAATACAAAAGACCAGAAACCTCTAACTACTCAAAAATGGGAGTTCTAAAACATAACAAACTCTCCCAACTTTTCTTTTTTTTCCCTTACTAATTTTTTTCTTCTGTGCCAAAAATTAGTGGAAATTGTGGGAGGAATTAAAGGGGTGGTTATAGTAAAATTCAAAATTGCCTTTAAAAAAGATTTTTTAATTTTTTCTATTTTTTGTAGCCATTTCTGCATTACTTCGACATATTGGACGCAGGAAGATTAAAATTGGTCTTGGTGGTGCAATTATTCAATTCCACCCGCAATACCAAGAGATGTTGGAAAATTATTTGCGGTCTATGGCACCGATTAATATTGATGTTTGTTTTTCTTTTTTTTCTTGTAAATTTTGGGAAAGGGGTTATTGGGTTTTTCCCACGATTTATTAATAGATCCGAAAGCCCCGGATTTTCGACAAGAAACACTTTCAGAGAAAATATTTTTTGGGAAATCTATATGGACTATTTTCCTCAATTGGTGACATTACGGGTATCTTGACATGCATAGAGGGGATGTGTGGTCTGGTTTCTTGTGTCCGTATTTTGTTTCTTTAAAGTTTTTTGGAATTATGGCACAGCTCCCTAATCTGCTTACAAATTTTAAAAAATTATTCAAAAAAATTCTTTTTTTTCCAGTGGGAACTCTGTATTGTTGAGGAGGGCAGTGTTCTTGGTGCGGCCTTAGTTGCTGCAATTGCCGTCAATATGAATCTTAAATAATTTGTTTTGTTTGGTTGCATCTCTTATAAATAAAATGGTGCGATAAGTAAAGAAAAGTTGTTGACCTCTTTTTTTAATTTTTTTAATTTAAAAAATTTTTTGGCCATTAAGGCAAAACTTATTTAAAAATAAAAAAACAAGCGCCTTTCATTTTAAGTAATTTATAAAAATAAAATAAGCAGCTCCTGACTTCCCCCACTTCTCTCTCTCTATTTTGTTTAATTTTATGATTATTATTTTTTGAAATGCAACTGGGAAAAATATTTTCTGTTTTAAAAATATTTTTTTGGAGGTTTTTTAAAGGGATTAAAAATTTTAAGAAAAAAAAATTCTTTTTTTTCCAGTTGTATTTATGTACTCGTATATATATTTGTATTGTTCTTCCTAAATATATAACATTTGTGTGAAAAACACAACTTGAACTTTTTTTGAATTTATGGACATTCTCAATTTTTTTTTATAAATAAAAAAGAATAATTTTTTTACAAATTTGTTTAATTTGATAGGAATGGAAAGACATTTTTTGTTTTCCATGCCGTTTGTCTTAAAAATGTATTTAAGAAAAAAGTTTTACTGGCTAGATTAAGAGATTTTTTAGAGAGATTTTTTAGAGATTTTTTTAATTAGAAAATGAATAATTAGCTTGTAATAGCCGGGATGTGCGCCAAAAAATCAGAAAATGAAATAGAAGCAGCACCTCAGAGGATAGAAAATTGAACAAACTGTTGAAGAAAAGGTTCAAATTGATAGTGAAGATATTTTAGAAGAACGTATCAAAAGTTTATCACAAAGAAGGCCCTTTTAGATTTTCTCCCTAAATCTATGGAGATATGTACACACAGCTCTGCGTGTACGAACAAGGGCTATTCTCAATTGCAGATACGTAAATTGCGGTTGCTGTAACTTTTTCCACTTGCGGACAGCCCTGGTTAGAACCAGTGCTTCGAAATTTCAAATTTGCTCGTACTCGTACTCGTACTTCGTACCACCTCTTTTTTTGGCCTCGTACTCGTACTCGTACCTCGTACCACCCTTATTTTTTTGCTCGTACTCGTACCTCGTACCACCCCTATTTTTGGCCTCGTACCTCGTACTCGTACCTCGTACTTACTCGTACTTGAGAAAAAAGCAAAAAATCGAAAATTTTTATGATTTTTTGGAGTCAAGGACATCAATTTTTAAATTTTAAGCGTTATATGTGATCATTTTTGAATCTCGGAAGGCTTTGAAGCTATAAATCCTCCAATTTCATCTATTTTCTGCGCCGCAGGCGAAATTTTTGAGCATTTTGGAGTGCAAGGAGAAATATTTCCTCCAAGTTGGGTCGTGCTACCAGAAATCCTACATTTTTTCATCCGATTTTCATCTTCTTACATGGAACTTTTTATATTTTCCACCGAACTTTTCACATTTTAATTTCCTGATATCCTTCTTAATCTCAAATCCCTTTTTTTCAAAAATTTTGAGAATTTTGGATGTCCTTAAGTCTGATTTCTTCTATTTTTGCGCCGCAGGCGAAAATTTTGAAAAATTTTAAAGGCCATGAAGCCAGATTTCTTCCATTTTTCACCGCCGGAGGCGAAAATTTTAGAATTTGGAAGCCAATAAGCCAACATTCTTATTTTTTCGGCGCCGCAGGCGAAAATTTTGAAAATTTCGGAAGGCCGTAGGCGAAAAAAACTCCTTTTTAGTGGTACAATTAAAAATTTTAAGAATTCTAGAGGGCCAAAACCCCATAATTTCTCCACGCAAAAATAGAATAATTTTTTAAACAAAATTACACTTATAAAAAAATGTTGTTTATGAAAAGACAATTATTAAAATTCTTTGCAAGTGAATAGGAATCGAACCCAATATTAAATAATTAAAGACTTTGATGCAGCCAAGCACCTTCACCACTCGGCCACTCGCTCATATAATGGTGAATGAAAAGATTTAATATATTTCTTTAATTTTCCTATTAACCCCAAGTACGAGAAGTACGAGCTCGTACTTAGGCCTCGTACCTCGTACTTTTCACTTTTTTTGGCCTCGTACTCGTACCTGCCTTATTTTTTTGCTCGTACTCGTACTTCGTACCAGGTACGAGTACGAGTACGAGGTACGAGTACGAATTTTGGTACGAGCTTCGAAGCACTGGTTAGAACCCATGATCGGTGTTGTGGGTGCTACTTGTTACAATATTTCTCAATCTTACCAAAATTAATATTAAACGATTCCTCTCATCGAGCTGAAGAGATTGGTACCAAAATTTATAAGGGCCAAAAATTTTCCAGCAAGTTACGACTTTGCGCCATTGTGCGCGCCCACATATTGATTATTTTGAAAATGTCAATTAAAAATATTAATTCATGTTTTAACCTGTTAAAAAATGGCGCAAACAAAAAAAGCTGCAATAAAGGAAATAAATTTTATAAAATAAAAAATAATTAAATTGAAAATAATTAAAGACATTAAAAATTATTAAAAATTAAATTAAAAACAATTTAAAAAAAATAAAAAAATTCAGTCAACGAGCAAAAGTCAACAACCTTTTCATAATTTAACAAATTCCTCAAACTTTTAGCAATAACATCCTTAAAAATATTTTTTTAAAAATTAAAAATTAAAAAATCTCTTTGGTTCCGGTCAAAAGTTAGGTTCCGGTGAAACAATACAAGATACCCGTAGTGTCACGAAATTGAGGAAAGGAGGCGATATAGATTTGCCGAAAAAAATTTTCTCTGAAAGTGTTTCGGGTCGAAAATCCGGGGCTTTCGGATCTATTAGCGACTCGTGAAAAAGACCCAATAACCCCTTTCCCAAAATTTACAAGAAAAAAAAGAAAACAAACGTCAATATTAATCGGTGCCATAGACTTCAAATAATTTTCCAACATCTCTTGATATTGCGGGTGGAATTGAATAATTGCACCACCAAGACCAATTTTAATCTTCCTGCGTCCAATATGTCGAAGTAATGCAGAAATGGCTACAAAAAAATTTTGTAATTAACTAACTAATCTCTCAACTCGGGAATTTTGAATTTTAAAAATATATACTTCGTTTCCCCTCATCACCCTCCACTATTTGAAGTAAAAAAAAGCAAGTGATAAGGAAAAAATAAATTAGGGAGGGGGTTTGAAGATTATAATTTTGAAGATTAACGCGACTCCCATTTTTTTATTAGGATTTCTCAAACCTTACATTTGATAAAATATTTTTGGATGCCCTTTCCTTCAATCAAATGATAAAAATGAAATTTCTGCTATTGAATTTATAAATACCCCAAACTTATTTTCTCAAAGAAATTAAAAAAAAAAGAAAAAAAACCTGCAGCAACAACGCCAGCAGAACGTTCAGACGCGGCAATACAAACTTCTTGCATAATAAAATAGTCAATACTACCGTGATTCTGAACTTCCATTTCATCACAAATTTTACGGCAATTTTTACGCATTTCTCCAGGTTCACTTAAGAAAAAAATTTCAAAAAAGTTTTCAAAAAAATTAAAAAAAACCTAAATATTTCAGTAATATATTTAGCTGGAAATCCATCAACTTTCTCCAAAGCTTCAACTTTTTCACCACAAAAAGAATTTTGTCTTTAGTAAGTTTAAGCAGAATCCTTCGAATTAATTCGCCCAAATAGAGAGCACCAGTCAATTTGTCAATACTTTAAAAAGAAAAAAGAAATTTTTTTGAAAATTAAAAAAAATCTAAAAAACATACACTTGTTTGCCAACATGGACAGAAGCTGCATCAAGTTCACGATCGAATTCGGTCATAATGTCGTCCATTTCTTTCTAAATTTGTATAAGGATGATTCAAAAAAATTAAACGAACTAATCCAAGGAAATTTAAAAATTATTTTGGAATTTCTAATATATCGGGTACCATTTAGGCCCTGTTTTTTAATAAGCTGTAGGATTTTTGGTATTTTACAGATCTGTCAAACGACAACCTCTTCTTATTGTTGAAAATTATCCTATGTTCTTACAGAATAGGTGACTCTGCCCTTACCCTCATATGATGGTAATAACAAAATAACCATCCTCAATAGGCCTAATCAGAACCAGATCTTCACCCTTCCCCCACCTTTCCTCCTCAAAATAAAATTAAAAAACAAACTCGACATCAAAATTCTTCCCATTCAGCCACTACAACCATTTTCTCATGTCTGTAGTTAAACTCTTCCGGATCAAACTTTTTAATATTCTTAACATCCTCTAAATATGCAGAATTGCAACTTAAAATTTAAAAAGGAATAAAAAAATTTATTTCAAAAAAAAAAATACCCATATCCAATAACACAAGCAGCAATGCATTCATCTCCATATTTTGCATGTGATGCTGCAAGCTGTCCAACAGTGTCATTCATAATGGCTTTGACTCTGCCCTGAAAAAAGAAATTATTTTATTAGAATTTAAGAAACAATAGCAAGAGACTAAAAATCGACTCCCGGAATTTTTGGGGAAGATTTGGGGTCTAAAGGAAGTCAAGAGGAGACTAGAAGTAGACGAAAATCGTCTAGATTCTAATACATTCAACAAGTGTTTTAGACAAAGGTTTCAAAAATGTCTTAACGTGTTACCTCTCCATCTCCCGTCTCAAAAAAAAAGAAGCGAGGCCAATGAGGAGAAAAAGGCATAATCTAACCATTCATGGAGTAAATCCAACCCTCTCTAATAGACACAAAAAACTCGAAAAAATTCCAAACCTTAACAGTCATACTCAACTCCAAAGCATCATCCAAAAGAGTAACCATATCCTTTTGCAAACAGTCTGGGATATTATAACCTTTTGTCCACCAAAGGAGACGAGCTTCACGAATAGATGTTAATTCGCAAGGAAATGAGAAAACGAAGCCAATGTGAAATGTTTGATCTTCAACTTTGGCATCGCGCAAAACCTTTAAAAACCAACAGTTTTGATTATTTTATAATATCTCAACATATATGGGGGGTAAACAACATTAACATGCAAAATATAGTTAAACGAGTGAGGAATTAACACTTATTTATTTGAAGGAGGTAAAACGCTAACTCCTCTTCTTCTCTCATTAAAATAATAGGAAGTCAAGGAAAGGACCATAGCCTGTGATTTCTTCCTGACATTCCCACCGGTATTGCTAGCCTCACTATCCTCACTCACCCGTCCCACCACGTTCAGGCGATGATGACTTCGCCTAATTTGCAGTCATTTTTTGTTTCCCCCAGATAAATCGATTTACCTATCAGGACTTAATCTAGTATTGTAACTCTACCAAAAAAATATAAAAATAAAAGAAAACCTTTTTAAGCGAATTGATAATAAAATTAAAAAGCTGCTCCCCAGTTCCAGTCATAACTTGTTTAGGCACAACAAAATTCTGAATGTCTTTAACAGGCTCGTGCCCTGGACCTTCAAAAACAACCAAAAGAATGCGACAATTTTTGCTGCTTAAGTCAATAGAACAATAATTGCCAATTTCTTTAAAGTAAAAAAAAATTATTTAGAATAAAGGATCTGTAAAAGTTTGAAAAAAAAAGTCCGCAAACGTGGATGCCGTTTACAAGGAAAAGCCAGAAGTATTCTCATTTGTGAGAATACAATTTTTGTCTACTCGTTTTTTTGGAATAAGCCTCCACCTTAGAGACCATTGGGAGATATTTCAACCCGTCAGATATAAAATTTTTAAATCCCCTAAATTAAATTATAAACAAAAAATATAAACCTAATCTTTCATTTTATTTGAACCACTGCATCTTTTTCCAGATACAATATCATTTTCTTCATTTGCTTCTCTTCTTTATCTTCCTTGTTGTTTCTTTTTGGCGAAGGCGGCGACAATGCTTTGTTGCGGTCTTTATCACGTTGTTGTTCTTCATTTTCCAAAAGCAATTTTGGGCGTTTTTTGCATCCTTCTGGAAATTCATCAACATTTAAGCCTTCCGCTGCATTGGAGCTACAGCAACAAATTAACTGAAATTTAAGTATTTTTTTAAATTATTGGTCCTTATAAGGAAAATAATTTTTGGGCATAGAAAATACAAAACAATATCTCATACCCTTTTCGGTGGACGGTTTTTGACGGTAGCATCATTTACAGCTTCAACAGAATTACTATTATTTTCCTTCATTTTATCTTCATCTGTTGTACTTCTTATGCCCATTTCATCATCCGTCTGTGTTTGTACATTCACCAACAATTCCTTTTGGGGCATTTTATTTAAGTTAGATTCCTCTTTTTCTTCTATTATGGCTAATGTATTCGTGCATTTAATCACTTGATCCCTTCTAGGAGGAGTAGAAATTGCCGGAGCATTATTTACATTTTCAACAGAATTATTATTATTTTCAGGCATTTTATCTTCATTTGTTGAACTTCTTATGCCCATTTCGTCAATATTATCCTCCGGCTGTGCTTGTACATTCACCAATTCCTTTTGGAGCATTGGAATCACTTCATCTCTTCTAGGAGGAGTAGAAATTGCTGGAGGAGTCGAAATTGCCGGAGGAGTAGATATTGCTGCAGTCATTGTAGAGATCCTAAAATTTGCTAAACTTAAGAATTTTATATATGAACTAGAAATACATTTCAAAAATGTCATTCACATTACGAATTTCCCTCTTTGAATTATTGGCTTCATTAGTTTTTCCAGCATTTCTTTTGTTTCCTTTTCGCCTTCCATTTGTTGTTGGTCGAATAACAGTGGTAGAATTATCTAGTCTTGTCCTTTTTGAAGAAATTGGCGGAGTTGAATCATTGACAGTCTCTTGAATTTGCTGATTCTGTTTTTGTGGTGTTTGGCTATTCAAAAGCATAGCAGCAGAGCACAAGGCGGATGCCAAGACCTGAACAATGCCATTGACGTGATTGACTTTATTAGCCATTTTTCCCTTAAAAAGGACGAAATTACGGTTAAAAAAATATCCGACCTCTTTCTGCACACTTTCTTTTTGACTCCTTTCAAAATCATGAATTAGCTCAGTTAAAATGCCGGCCTGTTTTTTAAGTCCTGACACTAACTTATTTTGTTGTTTCTTTGACAATTTTGCATTCTTCTTTAAAACTAAAAAATTAAAAAAGTATCTGGTCTCATTAAAATATGCCACTGGTAGAAATTATGGAACGAAGGCTTACTATTATTACATATTAAGGTAAACTCTGAGACTCAAACTAGGCGGGTGATATATCCACAAAGTATCCCAGAGTCAAAATTCAAAAAACCTCTATCTGGTGCAATTTTGAAGGTTAATGAAGGTTGTTGAATAGAAACATTTTCTTGATCATCCTCTTCACTAAACAAATCATGAAACCAATCGGGAACATCGTCTTCCTCTTCATTTAAAGTAACGACATCGAAGTTAAAGTCTGGGAATTCTATAATAAATTAAAATTTTAAAAATTAAAAAAAACCATAATGGCCATGTTTATTTCTCAATTCAAAAGTGTGTGGACCAGATTGGTGCGGGACAAAGCTAACTCGGAATTTTTCTTTTTCAATTTGTTCCATCTTTAGATCATGTTTCAAATCGCCGCTTGGTCCGTGCACATGAACAGATAAGTCAGAGATGTGTTGATTTGGAGACGTGAAAACAATAGCTGTGGAAAGTCCAATAACTGGCTGGAAAAAAATTTGAAAATAATTCTTTATACCAGAGATGCCTCGGTTTACCCAAAACCAATCCCAGACTTCTTCGACCCAATACACAATCCGTGAAATTTTCCATACCCCGATTTTCCTCCGCTTAATCCCCTAGACCCAAACCCAACCCGAAGAAAATTTTGCAACCCCGACCCTCACAACTTGTGACATCCTGCTTTATACCCCCTAAAAAATAAATTCTTTTAACCTGAGGTATTTCACTTGCAACTCTAGCTCCAACATCCTCTTCTTCCAATATTTCTTCTTTGTCATATTCAATTGCATTCACTGGTATTTCAAATATTTTTTGGTCATTCACAGTCAAATAAATTTTGTGGACGCCAGGAATCATCGGTTCATAGCGAGCGTTGTAGACAGACAAAGTTTTCAAGTCAACCTCTACAGGAACTTCTTCCCCTTCAGGTCCAACCACAGTAACCTGGACATGCTTTCGTTTTGGAATATTGTAAAAATCAATTAAAAAATTTGTTTTTTGACGTGTTTGAATAGTTGGACTCAATGCTGGACCGCTAAGCCAAATTTCATTTGGGTCAAAAGGGCAATAAACAAAAATAACAAAAGGCCATCCTTCAACTGCCAGTTTATCGGCGACAACACTAATCAAGTGCTATAAGAGAAAAAAATTTTTTAATCAAATAAAAAATTAAAAAAAACCTTTCCTTCCTTTTGCGGCACAAAACTGTAAAAATTTCCTTCAGGTTTATTTTCACAATCAAAATCGACTTTTTGTAAATTTGGGTCGTAGATTTCAACGTAGAATGTTTCAGCTTCTAAAAAATTTTTTAAAAATTAAAAATCATTTAAATACAAAATCCAAACCAATTTCTTTTGGAATTTTAAAATTAAATTGTTTGTCAATTTGTCCTTCGTTGCTTTCAAATGATGGTATTCGAATTGGGCGAACAACATTTTTAAAAGGAAGCAAATTTGCTGGTTCAATCCAAAAAACAAAAGGTGAATCTTTTATATGGGAATTTGTGTCAAGTTCGGTGATGTTGATTGTATAACGACCCGGAACATGGGGCTAAAATTAGAGGGGAAAATAAAAATCAGATAAGAATAAACAAACTGTGTATTCAACCATTGCCGTTCCTTCACCATTGTCAGAGTAAATAATCTCCGTTTTGCTGGGTCCCTCGATTGAAAATTCTAAAAAACAAAATTCTTTAATTATTTTTGAACGGTGTTCTACTTATTTTCTTTGTTTAAAAAATAGGTGGAAATGAGGGAGGCCACCCAAAAAAATACAAAATAAAAACAAAAAGAGAACCTAAATAATTTGCTCTTTCGTGTGTGTCAACATAAAAGACAGCCCTCTCCTCAGCAACACCTCCTTCCAATCCAGGGCCGACAGCTCGAATGCTTGAAATGTTCTTTGGGCCAACTACAATCTAAAAACAAATTTAAATTAAAATTTTTTAATCAACTAAAAACCATGTACGGACTGCTTCCTAAATATGTACTGCTTGCAGCGCATTTCACAGAAACCTCATACTTCCCGCTTGTACGCGGAGTAAACACAAAAGATTGCCGAGGATGTATAGCAGTAAAAGGTTGTGATGCTGCTGACGGTCTCTGTTCAAAATCTTGACGGGAAACTGGGATGAGTATGTCATCTGAGGGAACAAATTTAAATCAAACAACATTCAAAAAAAATTTTTCCAAACCTTTTTTAACATTAACAACAACTTCATCCTCACAATTATCCACATGTACAGCAAGCTCCTCATTGGCACTCGTTCCAACAGATAAAAGACCACGTCCCCATACAACAACATTTTCATATTTATTACTTGAAAGTGGAGATGTTGGAATTTCTTCATGTGGTGTTTCTTCTTGTAGCATTTCCTCTTCTTCTTCTTTGTGATCATAAACGTCTAAAATAAAATTTAAATCGTTGTATGCAATAATTTCTGAATCTTGGAACACTTCGGAGCCATAAAAACCTCCTATTTCAAACCTTTTCGCGCCGCAGGCAAAAATTTTTATAAATTTCGGAAGGCCTTATTGTTAGGCGAAAAAATTACTTTTTAGTGATACGAAGAAAAGGTTTACTAATTTTAGTGGGCCAAAAACACTTAATTCCTTCATGTAAAAATACTCTAGAATAATTTTTAAAAAATTATACTTATAAAATAAGTTATTTATGGGAAGAAAAATATGAAAATTGCTTGTCCTCTGACAAGGAAGAGGACAAGGAATGGAAATTTTCTTTTTGAAAAAAATATTTTAAAAAACCTTTAGCTAGTGAAGAAGATTGAATCCCTCTATCAACTTCCACCGGGACAATATTTTCTTCCTCTTCCAATTCATCACACATTTTTTTTGAGGGTAAATTAAATGCTGTAGTAATTTTTTGATAATTGTTAATATTTGGTTGTTCATTTAAAAGCTAAAAACAAAAATTAAAAAATTTTTTTTTGAAATCTAAAAAACCTTTTCAGCTAACGTATTATAAATAGGTAACAATTGAAAATTGAAAGAAGCTCCATATTTTCGAAAAATATCCAAAACTTGTCCAATTTGTTCATTTAAAAGTAATTCTTTTGAATATACAGCCAAATATTTGTCCAGTAGAGGGCGATGCTGAAAAAAAAATAATTGAAAAGGAAAAGTCACAAATGTTCAGCAAAACAAGAAAAAAGAATAAAAAGTACCTTTTGTTGTTTAGCAGTATTTAAAGCCTTTTCCCAATTTCCAGATTCTACGTGTTGATTTATTTTTGCAATAATTGAATCATCAACGACTAAAGAATTTATAAGTAAAAAAAATAATTTTGAAATTATTTTATAAATTTTGTATTTTAAAAAAGCTATAATATTTGAATTACAAAAAATTAAAGTATTTTTACCGCATCTATGATAATTATCCAAGCAAGCTGTTTTTTCAAAAAATTTAACAGATCCATTGCATCTCATTTTCGGATTTTGCTGCATCGTACAACGCCAATTATTCAAATTCAACGAACGATAGAGAAAATAATGGAATCCATTATAAAACAATTTCGTATTCACTTTAATCGGGGTTGCGAAAATTGATGCACCATCAGCAGAAACCTAAAAATTTTTGGTATATCTTTAGTCCCCCATGTCAATTTTTTGGATAAAAATGGTCAGTCTGCCATATATTGATGGTATAGCGATTTTTGAATTTTACTATGATAAACTAGAATTAGTTTGACATCGCCTTAGCTCAACATACGTCTCTTAAATTTGGCTAGGCACTAAATATGAGGGTCGCTATCTAATATAAACCTCAATATACGATTTTCGACCGTAAGTGAATGCTGAGGTCAGATTCTATTAATTAAAAAAAGAAAATTTCGGAACCTGATTATCCTTAGACAACGCTGTAAAAGGATCTACTCCATCATCAATTGAACGTTCAACATAATCCAAAATAAATTGAAAAGAGCCGACTTTTGCAATGACGGTTACCACTTTGGCGGTTGCTGATTGTTTATCAAAAATGACTGTCTAAAATACAAAATTAATTAATCAAAACTCAATTTTCAACAAAAACCTGAGAATCTCCAAGTTCCTTTATAAAGACATTGTCACATTTCCCCAAAGAATCATCTGGTGGAGCACAAATAACAGCTTGAGCTTGCGCGCCCAAAGCATGGCAAAGGCGGCGTAAACCGTATTTTGAAGTTAATCTATTAAAAAAAACAATTTTTCAAATTGAGCAAAATTTCAAATTAACCTAACACCCATAATTTTGTATTTATTCAAAAAGTGTGTGTAAAGGTCTTTAAATTTTCCAGCAACAACAATTACAGAAACACCAGCCTCCGCCATCTCTTTAACTTTTTGTTCAACACTAGCCTCTTCTGTATCTGCTGTATTCGTCAATATAGTTCTCTGAAGTTGAAAAAAGGTCAAATGATTTTTAAAAAATGTAAAAAATAAAAGTAGGCAGTGTAGAGGACTCTTAAGCATCCTCCCCATTTACCCCCTATTGCCTTTGCTACCAAATTTTTGGCAAATATTCTTAAAAATCTCCAAACCTTTGTTTCAGTCTGTGTTAAATCAAAATGACAAGCAAAAATTGCGACTTTAGCATTTGTAGCCTGTTTAATGTCTCCTAAAGCCAATTCATATCCTGGAACAATTTCAATACGATGGGGTGATGACATTTTTAAAAATCTAAAAAAAATAAAATTAAAAACACTATAAACATTGGCGAAGACTGCCGAAAACGCACAGATACTTAGCGTACGACATATAACGTTTTCGTTGATTCGCGGCGAATATCAACAATTAGTTTCAACAACACATTTTTTTATTTTCTTGCCTTAGGCAACAGAATAGAAAATTATTTAATCTATTGCGACAAAGTGAGTAAGCCCAAGTAGGCGCGCGGCCATAACAGCGCAAAGCCATAACTTGATTCTAGATTTCCAAATCTTTCCAAATTTAGTATTAAATGATTCCTCTCATCGAGCTTAAGAGATTGGTACCAAAATTGATAAGGACCAGAGATTTTCCAACAAGCTATGACTTTGCGCCGTTATGGCCGCGCGCCTATTTGGACGTGTCCCCGACAAAGTGGCTATTGACAAATTGGTCGCGACAAAATGTCCCCGAATTTTTATTTTAATTTGAATTTTTCATTTGGGTAAATTTTTAGTTTGACTCAAAACGGTCAGACAAATTTTTTGTTTTTTTTAATTTTTCATCTTTAAAAAATTTTTAAAAATTTTTTATTTAGACTAAATTAAATAAAATGACTACTTCAACATCTACTCAACAACCAACTGTTGCTCAAAAAATTTTATTTAACGAACTTTGTAGTGTATTTCAAGAAATTAAAGCAACATATAGAGCAACCAAGCATTTTGTTTTTAATAAATTTTTGAGGCGTTGGAGGGATGAAATGGTTAAAGAAAATGTTGAAGATGGATTTGTTGAATATAGAACTGATGATACTTTTTATCCAGCTTTGCGTTTATTTGTGCCTAGTAAAGATGTGAAGGTTAGGGAATTTAGAATTAAAGAGGTTTGTAGATTTTTTTCATCTAAATTTAACTTAAAAATAGGAGATTAAAAATTTCAAAAATCCGAACTAGATTGAGCTTAGTCTAATGACCTGGTAAGGAGTAGAGTCAAGCTGGGTCTGGACCAAGGCCTGGGTTTTTCCTAAACCCGGAGTCCAGGCCCAGATATTTTTTGACCTTCCTGGATTTTTCTTGCACTACAGACCCATGATCCAACTCAGGTCAATAAATCAAACCCAGAGTTCAGGAATAGGCCCAGGCTTTTCAAAAATCTCGATCTTTAGCCAGTAGCATCGTCTGGAGTCTAGGGAAAATGTAGTAAGTTCAGATGCCTGTGTAAGGGCAGGAAGAACTCACAAATCTCTGACCGATCAGATCAGTTCGATCTCTACAAAATAGCTTAAAAATCCGCAAATTTTATCCGCAATTTATTGTTTTATCAAAAAAGCAAATATTTTGGAAATGTTCTCGTGTGGATAAAATGTCCATTTAATTTAGAATAAAAAAACTTTTTAATTTTTTTAAAGGCAAAACTCAATCAATTAGTTTGTAACTCGATTGCTGCAATGCCGCTAAATCCTGTACCTACAAATTATGATTTGTTGGTTGAAAAACTTGTAAATATGTCTTCAGATCGTTTTCCTGTTAATACGGCAAAATTGACAATTTGGGAAGTTAATGAATTTTTGGATGGAATCAAATATCCCAACAGTGTTGATATTCGTTTGTTTTTTTATTTTTAATTAATTTTGGTTAATTGAGTTGGGGATTTTTTAAAAATTCGGGTGGGTTAATTGTTGGTATGTTCCTCAGGTTTTCTTTTTCCCAGACTCATGTCAGAAAATATAGTGAATGCGGGGAAATCTCGAACTTTGGCCTCAGGGTTTTTCGGCTCCAGGAAAATTTGGATTCAGGAACTTTGATTTATTTTTGTCCACAAAAGTTGTCCGCAAGCAATTTCTTTCACTTTTAACACAAACATAATTTATTAAATAATTTCAGAAGAAGAAGCAATGGATAAACTTTGTCGTCAATGTACTCCAAATGAACTTCGATTTATTTTTCATATTATTTTGGGTAATATAGAGAGATATATAGATATGTCTGCGCATACTTTAATGAGGACATTCCATGCTGAAGCAGATAATTTATGGAAGGTTTTTTTGATTTTTAAGAATTAAAAAATTTTATTAAAAGGAAGGTGATTCACTCCAATTAATTTGTGAAAAATTTGCTGACCCAGAAACTGTGAATTCAATGAATTTAACTGGACATTTGTTATGTAAACCGTTTAGACCAATGCTTTTGAAGCGTTTAAATTACAATAAATATTGTTTGGCAAAGGTTGTTTTAAATTATATTTATTTTTTTCTTATTGGATATGAAATTTAAAATATTGTTTCTCTCATCCTATTCCAAAAAATTTTTGATTTTCACACTTTCGAGCTTCCACTTGTTTTATTGGTTTAGTTTCGGTCTCATTTTCTTTTTTAATTTTCGTCTTTAACTTAAGGTAGCATTTTGGCCACAATGATTTTTTTGTAGCCAAAGAAATATAACCAGTTATGCCTTCCCAAAGTTGAAGTTGCTATCAGTGTTTGAAAATATAAAATTGGCTTGTAATATTTTTATATAGCCTTGTTTTTCATACATTTTCTTTTTTATTTTTTCGAACTTATATACACATACTAGTTCGAATTTTGGTACAAGCTTCCAAACACTGGTCGCTACTCTCTAATTTTTAACATTAAAAAATTTTTTTTATTAAAGATAATTCGTTATTGTCAACGTCCATTCTATTTGGAAACAAAATATGATGGAGAACATTTAATAGTCCACAAATATGAAAAAATAAATTATAAATATTTTACAAGAAATGGTGTTGATTATACAAATAAATTGGGGAGGCATTATGAATTGCTATTTTCTAAAAGAATTCACAAATATTTTAGAGAAGAAATTGTTGATTGTGTTTTGGATTGTGAATTGCTTATTTGGGATAATAATTTAAATTGTTTTGGTAAGAAATGTTTTTTTTTAAATTTAAATACAAAATTGATGTTTGTGGACAGATTTAGGAGTTGCTGACAAAACTGAAACATTGAATTTTGAATGAATGATCACTAGGGATTTTTGTGGCTCATTCTACCTTTAAATTTTAGGACATCCCGACCTTTCGGGGTCAGAAAGGTGAGAGGTTTTCGTTGTTGAGACTTTCGGGCCCAACTTTTAGCCAAAAAAGATTAGAGCTCGGAGTCCACCCTAATTTATTTTAAATAGAAGAACTCTTGTTTTAGATGTCCGCAAATGTTGATCTGCAAAACTAAAAGTCCGCAAATATTAATATTTTTCTTAAAAATTAATTGAATTTTTAATTTAAAGTTGGAAAAAATAGACGTGCTTCAGATGGAAATGTTTATGACCCAAAATATATGGACGATGATTTCTTTGAGAATAATAAAACATTTGAAAGAAGTATAGGTATTTAATTAAATAATTAAAATTTTTTTAAATTTTTTTTCAGCAGTTTTTGATATTCTTTATTTAAATGGAAAATGCCTTATAACCGAAAAATTAACATTAAGTGAACGTGTAGAGTTACTTGAGAATATTTTTGTTGAAGAAGATTTGTCTACAATATTTATTTCTACAAAAAAATTAATTAATAAAGCGTTCGTTTTTTAATTATTTTTTTATTTTAAAATTGTGGAAAAACTTTGTCCGCAAAATTTTTGCGGACAAATTTTTGCGGATTTTTCAATAATTTTTTAAAATTATAGTGAAGACTTTGTCAATTATTATAAAAACGCAATGTCACAAAACGAAGAAGGAATTGTTGTAAAATCATTAAATTCACTTTATCGTCCCGGTAGTCGTGCAGAAAAGAATGGATGGTTTAAAATTAAGCCAGATTATGGAATTCAATCAGTTTTGGATTTGGCTGTTGTTGGGGTTAGAATTGAGGCTGGACATGATAGAAATCGGTTAAAATCTTTTTTGGTAGCTGCGAAAAGTTGTAATAAAAATGGAAAGGAAGCAACTACAAGTGATGGAAAATTTAAATTTAAAATGGTATAAAAATTTAAATTTAAAAACGGTCATGACAAAAGGGTCAATTAAGTAAAATTTCTTAGATAATCTTTTTTTGGGATTCTTTATTTCCTATTTCGGGAGGAGAGAAACGGAGGGGTGGATACACCCTTGTTTATTTTCAATGTCATCAAAAAATAAAAGTCCGCAAAAATTTTTGCGGATAAAAATTTAAAAATGTTTTTGACCATTTTTTGAAATTTAAAAATGTTCAAAATTCAAAATGTCAAATTTTTATTTATTTTTAGATTGCTGGTATCACTTCTAGACTTAAAGCTTTAGACTTTCAACGCCTTCGTTCAACTATTGGTAATACTTCTGAATTATTATTTAAAAGGCCAGAATGGATAGAAGATTTTGATGAAACTTCAAAAAATGCGGACAGTTATCGTTTTGTCTTCTATGAAAAAATACAGGTTTAATTCAAAATTAGAACCGCTGAAAAGAAAATTGTCCGCAAAATATTTGCGGACAAAAATTTTTATCCGCAAAAGTTTTGCGGATAAAAATTTTGAAAAATGCCTTTAAAATTTAAAGCTTCTTCTTTATTTATCTTTTTATTTAAAAAAGGTTGTAGAAGTCAGAGCATCTGGATTAATTAACGGAAAACTTCAATTTCCTGCAATTGTTGGTGTTAGACATGATAAAATAGTTTGATTATTTTTTATTAGTTTTTAATTTCTAAATTAAATTTTAGTTTGAAGAAGTCGATTCTGTTGTAGATGTTGCAAATTTTGATGAGGTAAGAAATTATTTTTTTAAATTTTTACTTATAAAAAAGTATATTTCATTTCTGCTTACAAAATTCCGTCCGCAACTTTTGTCCGCAAAAATTCGCGGACAAAAGTTGTGGATTTTTAAAAATAATTTTTCTCCCATAAAGAAAGATAATATACTTTCTTGATAGGGATCAATATAAATATAAAAAATCCGCAAATTTTGTCCGCAAGTAGATAGATGCCCGTTTTTGCGGACAAAAAATTTTGAAAAAGTCCTTAAAAATTTAATATTTTTTAAAACAGCGCCTCCGTTCACGTCCAATGATAGACGAAGATGATGAACATGAAGCAAACATAATATTAAATAAAAAAAGAAAAATGCAACAAATAAATTTAAAACCCTCAATTAAATTGATAAATTCAAGAGAAACTGAAAAATTAAGAAGAGAAGAATTTCAAATTTGTAATAAATTGGAAAATGTAAAAGTTTGTGTTTTAAATGCTAATGAAGGGTATACAACACAACAATTACAAAAAATATTAATTGAATTGGGGGCTATTCCTATTGCTAATCCAAGTAAGTAGTGAGAAGGAGGAAGAGGTTTTAATTAGAGCGCGGACCGTACCGTACTACGGCCGTATTTTTCGGTATTTATCGGTATTCCGTATTGGTAGTACGGTACGGAATACGGTACGGAACGAAATTCCGCGCTCTAGTTTTAATCATAAAGGGAATTCGCAGAATTTTTTGCGGACAATATTTGCGGATTTTTATAGCTAAAAAGAAATATGCAGAATTTTCTATTATAATTTGGGAAATTTATGTATTAAATCATGTTTTTCAACTTTATGTCAATAAAAAAATCCGCAAAAATTTCAAGTTTATTTATTAAATAATTAAATTTTAATTTATTTAAGCAAATAACACAGCATTTTTGGTGGCAATGAATCCAAAAACTTTAAATTGTATAGCTCATGTTAAAGCAGATAAATGCCAGTAAATGTTTAAATTCTAGGAAATAAATATTGAATATTTTTTAGTATTGTGCATGGAAATTGGTTATTAAAATGTAAAGAAGAAAATAAATTGATACCTTGGTATTTATTTTTTTTAATTTTTTGTGTCCGCAAAAAAATTTATTTTTTTGCGGAAGCAATTTGCGGATTTTATTTTTTCACAGTAAACTGAGTTGTGTCCGCAAAAAATTTTTTTAAGTAAAAATCTGCAAGTTTTGTCCGCAAAATTTTTTTAAAATTAATTTCTTTTTTAAAGGAAACCTTCCGATTTAATCCATTTTTGCTCAACTTCCAAATTTAATTTATTTTCAACTTGTGAAGAAAACTTAATTGAAATGAGAGAAAATACTAATAATAAAATAAGTGAAGAACAACAACAAAAGTCTAATTTAAAAAGAAAAAAAGAATTATGTTCTACTTCAAATATTGTTCCTAAAAAGAATTTAAAAGACAAAGCATTTGAAAGAGAAAGAGATGAAAGTGAAGAAAATGAAAGATTTTATGAACAATTAGCTAGGGAAGCTGAAGAAGTTGAAATTGAGGTTTTTGAAAAAAATATATTATTTTGTTAAGTTGGTTATAAAAAGAGACAAAGTTCACTATAAGATACCCTCTTGAGGACTGGAAAAATTTTACCCCCATATAATGAGGTCCAATTTAGATTGGAGGTATTTGACAAATGAGAGTAAATTTTTCCACCTAATTTTTATTTTCCCACTCCTCAACCAAATTAAAAAAAAACGTATTCTTAAGATGAGGTTTGGCTATATTATACTAGTATTAAAACCATAGCTAGCCATTAATTATCTTCTTAAGATATCTTGTATTTAAGACTCAAATAATAAAACTACAAGTGGGAGAGTGGTGTCCGCAAATGTTTGTCCGCAAAAAATTTTCTGTCCGCAAAATTTATTTTTTATATTAAAATTAATTATTTTAGATAAGAAATCAAGTAGAAAATCAATTAAATAGTGAAGATTGTCAGCCTGTTGAAAAAGGGAATTTATTTGCTGATTATGTCTTCTATTTACACAACTCCTTGCAACCACAACAAAAAACAAAAATTCAGAAACTAATTGAAATGCAAAATGGAAGGATTGTAAATGAATTGAATAGTTCAATAACACATGTAGTTTTGGATAAATTGTAAGAAGCTGAGAGCTCTTGAGTCCAATGAAGCCTTGTGAGTCGAATGAAAAGTTTTATAGACTAGAGAAATAGACAATACCTTCTTAAAACCTTCAATGGACTCATAGCCTCATTGGACTCATAAGCTAAACCGGAGCCTATTTTTTTATAATTTATGAAGGTGTGTGTTAGTGGATTTGAGTGGGGGGGGGGTGTAATTAAATTTTTTTTAAATTAGAAACCTTTCTCTTGTAACTAATCGAGAAAATCCACTCATACACCTTCATTGAAAAAGCATTTATTAAACCATAAAAAATTTTTAAAAATTTTTTATTTTAAAGAAAACGTGGAGAGGAACAATCCTTATTTGATTTTAATGAAAAACAACAATTTTTATGTAACTTTGTAAGTATTCAATGGATTAATAAAGCTATAGAAGAAGAGGATCGTTATCGTTTACCTGAAAGTATTCAAGAATTTATTGAATATTGAAAAGAAAATTTTGAAGAAAATTTTTTGAAATTATATATTTATTTTCTGACTTGCTTTAATTTATTTTCACAGTTTTTTATGTGATGACTCTCAGAAAATTTAATAAAGATTTTATTTTTAATTAAATAGAGTGTTAATGAACAACCTTAAAAAATCTAAGAAGTCGGCGTGGTACGGGTATCCAGAAATTTTCAGAATTAACCCCACGGAAGCCCGTTCGAAACTGACACCTTGCAGGCCCTTTTCAACACTGGATATTTAAAAATAAAACTCATGGAACACTGTAATAAACCTCTCATTAATATTTTTGGGGAAGTTTGAGAGGGTGGGCGTTGATTTATTATTATATTACTGATTTTAAAATTAAAATTTATGCCAAAAATCTAATTACTAAAAACAAATTTTTTGAACAAAGCAGCTTTATTAAGAAACAAAAATAGCAAGTATAACAAAGACAAAAATTTTAAATTAGTCTTTTAAAAAAAGTTGAAAGATTTTGTTTGAATAATGGGCTGAGGGTTTGTGAGATTTTGTGCCTATTAATACTGAAAGTATAATTTTGTATATAAGAAGTTTAACGCCAAGGCCGTCTATTAGAGCTAGAATTTATTGCAGATTTTGTTTCCAAATTATTTTTATTTTTTTGATGTTTCCTCCAATCGGGCAAAACCAATTTCTTCTCTAAAGTTCGTCTTCTACCTTTTGCAGAATTTAAGGGAGGAGTGAGCAAAGTAGAACGTGAGTGTGTACTGTGAATGACTGTTGGGCTTGTGGGAATCCATGGAGTTATAGACCTTTCACTGTTGGCACGTCGTTCAAAGTCGAGAATTCTAAAAGCGAGGCTTCGTCTATATTTGCGTTCTTCCTCCTATTTTAAATTTTGGGAAAAATTTTTTTAAAATTTTCCCTAATTTTCACCTTCATATTCATCCACAAGGAATAAGCTTCTTCAGCAATTCTGGCTTTTGCTTTACTCTGTTCACGACGTTCCTCTTCTTTACGCTCCTCCTCTTCTTGTTTTAGGGCATGTTGAGTTCTCAAACGTTCATCAGCCATTTGAATCCTTTAAATATTTTTTTAAATCAAAAATACAGTTGGATCTCACTATAAGATGCCCTCTGGACAGAAAAAATATTTTATAATGAGCGGTATCTATCATGGTTGGCCGGGTTCAGAAAAAAAAGTCGGGGCGAGTTTTGGAACGAATTTAAAAATGTTCTTCGGATCGGTATATGATTGGGGGGGGGCATCTGGTCCATTATCCATTTTGGGGTAATCCAGTCCATTCCTACTACCTAATGCCAAGGGTATCTTATAATAAGATTTTCGATCATCTTACCAAGCATGAAAAGCGGCTTCAGCCTCCCTTCGTTTCTGCTCCTTATTTTGTTCAGTCTGTTTAGCAATACGTTGTTCAACACTTTTGGCCCGTTCCTTTTGTATTTTTCTTCTTATTTCGTCCTGTTTTTTCCAAGATTGGAATGTTTGTTGTGCTTCTAGTTGTTTTTGTTCTCTTAAAAATTTGTGTTCTTTCTTATTTAAAAACTCTAAAAACTTTTTTTGTTTCTCTTGTTCGGCCTTTTTCTGAGCTTTTAATCGTTCTGCTGCCTTTTTCTCAGCCAGACGTCTTTCTAATTCTGACTTCCAACGATTAAAATTTTTTGCAGCAAGTTCCCGTTTTTCTGAACGTTGTTGTTCTAGAGCAGTCTTTTCAGCTTCCTCACGTTCTCTTTTAGCTTTTTGTTCGTGTTGTTTTTGTTTTACCCAGGCCTAGAAATGTTAAATATTTTTTAAATAAATTATAATAAATTACTCGGTATGTCCCAGAATCTTCCTCCTTTCGAGGTGCTACAAGACTTGAACTTCGTTTTCTATAATTTTGTGTATTGGCCCTTTGTCTTCCACTAGCTGATAGAAGGCAAAATCTAAATTTATTTGATACTGTTAAATTGAAGCTCTTGAGGGTTTTATTTTCAAATTATATATTAAAAGGGGGTATTATTCGATGGGTCTTCTCGAATGGGCTTGTCTGAGAGATTTATATTACTAAAAATTTTTTTCAAAATTAAAAATAATTTTTTTTTATTGCCTTTCACTACTCGATCCAAACCCCAAAGGAACTCTTTGTTGAAGAACAATGCTTGATCCTTCTTCTGATTTTTGTTGTTGCCTTTGTTGAGAAGCTCGACGTTGTCGTTGCTGAAACTCATAAGTTATTTTTGAATTTTCTCCATTTAATTGGTCTCTTTCGTTTGAATTACTTGAAGATGATCCAGAATTTTTTCTGGATTTATTGAAAGATTTATTCCCTTCCTCTTTATATTTTAATTGTTGTTCAAGTTGTTGAGCCTTCAAAAATTTTTTTTTAATCTTCAAGAAAATTACAAAAATATTTTTTTCTACCTCAGCTTCAATCTCTTGTGATGATTTTGAAGTTGATAAATTTTGTGGAGGTTGAGATAGGGACAAATTCGAAGAGCTAGAGGAGGCAGAAGACTTCAAAACTAGTTTATTTTTATTTGTGCTTTCCTCAAATTTATTTTTTATTAATTCCAATTGTTTCTCAAAGCTTTGCTCTGATGAATTTTTCCTTGTACTAGAAGGCTGGGAATTTTGGCCTTTAGAGAGAAAATTTAAAAAATAATTTTTAATAAATAGAAAAAGATGCCTTGATTATTAATTTTCTCCCTTCTTTCTCCACTACTATTAGTTGAATTACTTCCAACTTTTGAGGGAACTTTTCTGTTGCTTCCACTAATATTTTTAACAATTTTTTCGTTGCTGTTTTCGCTTGATCTACGGCTTATTAAATTGTCTGTAGGGATTATTGGAGGGAGTGGGGCTTTATTACTCGTTGTTACTTGGGTATTAATAATATTTGAGCGAATGGATTCGTGTAAACTTCTGGTACGTAAAATAGCCAAATCCCTTCTAAAATGAAAGATTTAAATTAATTTATAAGCCCCCAACGACTTACAAACGCTTCGTAAAGTCGTCGACCTCTTCTTCCTTTTCCTCCTTTATATCTTCGTCTTCCGTTTCCTCCTTTTCTTCCTTTTTGTCTTCCTCATCATCAGACTCATCAAATTGTTCAGAGCTATACCTCTCAGGATCGCTTAATTCTGGATATCCACCTTGCCTTTTTGTTGAAGACGAGGCTGAGATATTTCCAGAATGGTTAATTGAAGAAGCTGGAGGCGTTCCCGAAGCTTTGTGGCGCTGATTAGTGTAGGATGAATTTGAAGAGGACGAAGTAGGAATGACAAATTCGCTGTTACGACTGGACTGATCACGCGTCCAAACATCCACTACAGGTGGTTGTCTGCCTTAAAGAGGAAAATTTTCCCTCTGCCGGGAGTTTAAAATTTAAGAAACCATTCGTATTCGGCACAAATCTTTGTCTTGTATTGTTATTTTCCTCTTCAGCAGGAGTTGTTGTTGTTGTTGATTGACTTCCAGGGCGTCCTCCTCTCCTCGTCCCCGGACGTTCCATTTCTTCACTGCTAGGTTTTGACAGAGTTAACTGATTTTGTAAATAAATTTTTGGTTGTTGAGGTGTAACAGTGGAAGATGAACCACTACGAGATACATTTGTGTACATTATGAAAAAATATTTTTTGTAAAAATGACTTTATTTCTTAGTTTTTTGCTTAATAATGAATTGAAGAAAATTTTTTTTGATGCAAATTATTATCCTTTTCCGTCGTTAGTAGGTCAAATAAAAATACTAAAAATGTCCTTTACTCAGCACAGGTGTTTCCTAGCAACGGGATGCTATGCTATGTAGAAAAAATTTAAAAATATTTAGCTGTTGCAAGTTGGATGTAAATATGAGTTTAAAAAATGTGAATAAAAAATAATTTTTGTCTAAAAATTTAGAAAAAATAATTAAAAATAATATATAATTTATTCGACTATTATAACACAAATAAAATTTGAGCATGATAAATTAAATACATAATAAGCATGTTTGTGGGAAAAATGGGTGATTTCATTTGTTTAGGTTACACATGTTTGGTAAATGAATGTTTAAAATAATTTGTACAAACTAAAAAAATGAATATAACAATTCTATGGGATAAAAACATCTAAAACACAATTAATATGAAAAGTTTGAAAAACATTCTCATATTAAGTTTTAAATAATTGTAAAACAAGTTTTAAAGTTGTTTTCAAACTTTATAAACAAGTTGTGTTGTGAAAACTTGATTTTATTAAAAAACAAGTTGGAAAACAAGTTTAAAAACAAGTTGGGAAAAAGTTGGAAAACAAGTTTAAAAACAAGTTGGGAAACAAGTTGGGAAACAAATACAGTATATATGGGAAAAAGAAATATTTAAATAAATCAAACACGTTTTTCTTGTATTTTAACGATCACAACATGTTTTTGTTAGTGTTCTAAAAATTAAAAAAACATTAAACATGTTGTGTTTATTTAATTACCACAGGGCTGATTTCTTGTTCTCATTAATAGTTATGTTTGTGTTAACGAAAAGTTTAATTATTCCAGAAGCCTCCCCACAACGATTTCTTTTAAATTTAAAATTTAATTTTTAAATATTTATTTATTTTTACATTGCAACAATTTTATATTGACTAGCATCATTAATTTGTAAATCATAAATTCGCAAAGATACGCATTGTCCGTTATCTTTATTATTGGCCTTTAAAATATTTTTTTTTATTTTTAAGACAAAATTTTAAAAATATTTTAAAATTGGGGTAATTTAAAAATTGCACTAACTTCATATTTTTTAGTGTTAGGGATTATGTGTTGTTCAGAATCTTGGACAATCCTATACCAACTAGAAATTAAAAAAATATTTTTTTTTATTAAAAAATGTTTTTACCATATAACAGTTTCATCCCCAAAAACACTAAAAATTAGATCTACAAAACGTTGTCCTTGTTTTGCATAAATAGTTGACTGTTTAGCGGAAACAGTAGGTGGTTTTTGTTCAAAATTGTAGTTAAAATTATTTTTTTCTTTAAAAGAAAAGATTTTTTTTGATTTTAAAATTGTTAAACAGTTTTTTTTGTATTTTTATTTTTAAAAATATTTTTTTAAATTTATTTACCATTAATTTTTAATTCAAATATACACTTTGCAGTACCAACTTTAATTTAAAAATATTTTTAAAAATTATTTTTTAGGTTAAAAATTCTAACATTTATTTTCTGCCAAGCATTTGTAATCCCCTGAATCTGTAGGAAATGCATCAAAAATGGTTAGACGGGAATCCTTCCCTACACGATCTAGAAAATTTTTTTTTTAATTTTTAAAATTAAAAATTTAATTTCCAACCAATACGATAAGCATTTAAATGGTCATTAGTTATTTCGACACGATTTGGTGTAAACCATTTAATTGTTATTGGTTCTGTGCCTAAAATAAGTATTTTAATAAAAGTTTTAAATTTTCAAGCTTAAGTTTATTTAGCTCTGAAATTCAGGTTTAATTGTAAAGTTTATTTGTTCTGCTTATTCTGATTTTATTTTCTTAAGTTTACCTTTCTGTTGTTTTTCTTTTTTTAAGTTTAATCTTAAAGTTTATTCTGATTTTGTCTTAACTCTGTTTTTAAGCTTAAACTTTAATTTTATTCTGGTCTTGCCTTAATTCTGTTTTTAAGTTTAAAATTTAAAGTTTAAACTTAAGTTTATTCTGATCTTGATTTTCTTTTTTTAAGTTTGAACTTAAATTTTATTCTGTTTTTTCTTTAATTCTGATTTTATTTTTCGGAAATACCTTCTATAATCTCAGCAAGTAATACTATTTCTCTTTGACTAACTCCATTATCTCCAATTTCAATTTGATGTCGTAAACGGACTTTAGATTCAATAAACTAATTTAAAAAATATTTTTTAATATTTTTTATTAAATTCTAAATATTTACTTTAGGAGAAAGTAAATCATCCTCTCGAATTGCTTTATTAACTAACAAATTCATTTCCGAACGAACTGTTCCGGAAGAATTTTCAGCGATAAACTTAAGTTTAAGAAAATTAATTAATCGAGTTTTTATTAATTTTACAATGTAACGTCCAGAATCGAGTGACGAAATTTTGGAAATAAATAGTTTGGATAGTTCCCCATCAAATGATAAAACTATTTTTAAAAATTGATTTTTAATTAAGTAATTTTAATAAAGAATGAAACTACCTATATGATCAGAATTTGGGGTGATCCTTGTGTTATTGTGAAGCCAACAAATTGAAGGGATTGGATTGCCTATTTATTATTTTATTTTATATATTTTTAAACCTAATATATTCTCTCTTTATAAGGTACATCCGATACTCGATACATCTCAATTGGTTAGCCACTGGATTTAGAGGTGGGGGAGGGGAGGGAGAGAAGCTAAGGTGAACTAATTCGAAAATAAAAATAGAAAATATGGGTGGATATTTTAGGATACAAATTTTCCAATCCCGAAGTTTTGTTGGGATCCGACTATATTTTTAATTAAAAATTCATTCTCACGGACCTAATACACGACATTCCGCAATGAATTGATTGCCAGAAATTGCCTGAAATTTTATAAAAAATAAATCGCTAAAAAATTTCAATTAAATACTTTAGCTTCACAAGGTAAAGCTTCAATAATTTCTGGTGCCATTAGCTCAGAACGCGATTTTTGGCGTTTCATTCTTTGATTAATAGGCGATTCAGTTTTGATTAAACTTTCAGTGCTAGATTTTGGGGTAGCTAGTTCAACAACTTGTACATTTGCTGAACAGAAGGCTACACCCTCTGTATTTTTTGCTGTACAATTGTATAGACCACTATCAAAGACTGATAGTGAATGAACCTCCAAAAGAAAAAAATCACTGAAATTTTTGAGATTAAAGTAGATAGGAAGGAAAACTTGCCCGTCCTGAAAAATAGAATATTTGCTTCCTGTTTCGAGCCTAATACCATTTCTATCCCAATAAACTTGGGGTGTAGGATTTGCGCTAATTGCTGCTTTCAATCTTTTTTAAGAGAAATAATTTTTTAAAAAATATTTTTTCAAAAAACACCTTAAACTCTTTCCTTCCGCAACTTGTTTATGAGGTTTTGGTCGCGCAAAAAATCTTGGTCTGCATATTCTAAAATAATTTAGATAAGGGGAGATAATAAAAAAAATGTTAGTAAAACAACTTTAAATTTCGTTGTTCTATTGCTGCATTAATTATTTGAAGCGCTTAATAATTAAACAAAATTAATTAAATTTTAATTAATAAAATTTCATTACTCTTTTTCTGTCTTTGTTCTTTATTTGTATTATCATCAAGATCATCTTCATTTAACTCAAACTTTTGTTGCTCTCCATCAGCCCCTATTTGTAGAAGGAAATCGTTTGTATTTATTCCATTTGTTGTTGATGTTGTTTCTGTTGAAAGTTGATTTTGTTGTAGAACTTTGAGGGAAAAAATTATAAAAAATGATTTAAAATACTACCATCTTCATCTATATTTATGCTTGCAAGTGTTGTTGATGATATTGTTGATGCTGTCGACATTTTTGCATTTTTCCGTCGCATTCTTTAAAGATTAAAATTAAGTTTAACCTTGAGATAATAAATAAATTTAAAAAATCAGAATAAATCTGAAGAAACAGTAATTATTAAACAAAGAATTTAAGCAGAAATGAGAGTTTAAGAAATAAAATAAGGTCAGGTTTATGGACTAGAAATTAAATAAATTTTTTATTTGTACTTAAAAGAATGAATTGACGAAAGAATTCGTTGCAGGTTGGCTATAATTATAAATTCCCAGCTGTTTAATAAAAAGGAAATAATTTAGGAAAGAAATTAGATGTAGGGAAATAGAAATAAAAACAAGGATAAATAACCTGCAATAAATAGCAAGTAACCTAATAACTTTAGCTTAAATGCTTAAAACTCTTAAATATGTTCATCTATTTTTAACATTGTTTTTAAAATTACGAACAGTTTTGTTTGAAACTTTGAATTTGAATCTACTGCGTTTGTGTTGTTGGTTGTGTTGTTGATATCTGTGTTGTTGATATTGTCATGGTAGTTTTTGTTGTTATTGATGTTTTTGTTTTTGTTGTCATTGATGTTTTTGTTGTTGTTTTCATTGATGTTTTTGTCGTCATTGATATTTCTGTTTTTGTTAATGTTTTTGTCGTCGTCGATATTTTTGTTGTTACTGATGTTTTTATAATTGTTGTTTTTGGTTTCATTGATGTTTTTGTTGTTGTTTTCATTGATGTTTTTGTTGTTGTTTTCATTGATGTTTTTGTTGTTGTTTTCATTGATGTTTTTGTTGTTGTTTTCATTGATGTTTTTGTTGTTACTGATGTTTTTATAATTGTTGTTGTTGTTTTCATTAATGTTTTTGTTGTCGTCGATGTTTTCGTTGTTACTGATGTTTTTATAATTGTTGTTTTTGTTTTCATTGATGTTTTTGTTGTCGATGTTGTTTGTGTTGTTGTCGTCGATGTTTTTGTTGTCGTTGTCTTGGTTATTACAGATATTTATGTTGTCATCAGAATTGTTTTTATCATCATTTATGTTTTTGTTGTTTATAATATCTAATTCTACTTTACTACTATTATTAACTAATTTTGTATTAACTAAACAGTCCTTCTCTCCATTCTTTATTATTGTAGATTCGGGAATTTCATCCCTGTTGCTGTTGTTGATGCAAGAGTTTTCATCTTCTGGAAGCTACAAATTTATATCAATTTTAAAAATCTACATGTTAATCTACTTTAGGGAAAGTTGTTAAATATAAAAATTGTTATTGGAAAAATTTAAATTATTCTCTCAAGGCATTCTAGTACAAAACAAGTGTTAGTTTTTAAGATAATAATAGGACCTTCTTTTCTGATACACCAAAATTTTTCATTTTATCCTCTAAAGAAAGTTCGGAAACTAAAATTGAGACAGAATCGCTGCCATGCTCATTTTGAATTAGGGCAGTATATGTCCCTAAGAAAATTAAATATTCTCTTCACTTGGATTATTTTTTTTACCCTCATGTTCAGGTGGTGTAAATTTCAAAATTTCTAACATAAACTCGTTTAATTCCAAATCCTCGTTGTAATTGATATTTAATAGAATAAACTCATCCGCTAAGAATTCTTTCCCGTTTCGAAGCCACTTAAGTTTGGGAAGTGGAAAGCCTGAGAATGATCCACTGAGACAGATACGTGAGCCTTTGATGGATTCCTTTGAGAAATAAATTTAAAAAAAGGTTAGGGGATCTTCCAATCTTACGGCATTAGGTTTTGGTTTCTTAACAAATTTTGGTGGTGTTTTTTGTGTTTCTTGTGGCGCTGCTTTTCCTACGGGTTTGCGTCCAGTATCGGTTGTTTTCGTTTCAATGGCAGCTTTAGGCAATTCACCTTTTCCCTTAAATTTAATAATTAGTTATTTTGGTTAATTTTAAATTTTATTTAAAAATTTAATAACGTACTCTAACAGACAAATATGCCTGGGTTGAAGGTTTTGACTGTTCCCGGTTACTAAGTTCAAGTTCGAGTTTGTAAAGGCCTTAAAATATCAATTTAATTTCACTCAAATGGAAAATTAAATTAACCCTCGTCAGCCTTTTCAATTTTGTTTATGACTAGTTTTGCTTCTCCTTTATTATCCAATAATGCCTTATGCTTCAATGTTCGAGTATTTAAAAGTTTTCCGTCTTTAAACCTTTAAAAGGATGCCAGATTTAAAATAAAATAAAATGTTATAAATTAAGTAAGATTAAACTTAAATCAGAATTATGATCAGAAGTAAGCTTTAACCTAAAGATAAATAAAGAATCAGAATTAAGCTTAAACTTGAAAGAAATAAAGAATGCTCAGAATTAATTAAATCAGAATTAAGATTGAACCTAAAACAAATTAAGAATATAAAAGTTGATTAATAATCAGAATTAAGCTTGAACTTGAAACAAATAAAGAATAATCAGAATTAATTATTGAACAGAAGTAAGCTTCAACTTAATAACAAATAATCAGAATTAATAATCAGAATTAAGATTGTTATTAAGATCAATCTTAAAAATTAATTATAAAACAAAGGTTTACCATTTTGCACGCATTAATGAATCACGTGTGCTTTTCTCCAACTTTGCCACCATTTCAACACGGATTTGCCCTTCGACTGCCTCAATATCATTAAGTGGGACCTCGAATCCGACATTTTTAATTTCTTCTCCTTGTTCGTCTTGTTTTTTATTTTTTTCTACTTTAATTTCATCTTCTTCACTTTTCGTTTCTTCTTTTTTCACCTTTTCAAGGTCTAATTTTACATCCTCCTTTTCTTCTTTTATTTTTTCTTCTTCTAATGATATTGGAGATTTATCTTCAATATTTTCCTCAATTTTAGTTGTATCAACTTCCTTTTCTGTTTTTGTCTTCTTCTTTAGAATTTTGGTTCTTATAGGTTTTACTTCACTTTCGTTAGTTTCTTCAACTTTTTCTTCAATTTTTTCTTCCTTTTCCTCATTACTTAGCTTCTTCTCCTCTTCTGGCTCCTCCTCTTTCATTTCCATTTCTTCCCCTTCCAATTTATCAAATTCCCCTCTAAACTCATAGCTAGATGATGATGAAGGCCTTTGTTCTTCCATTTCCTCTTTAAATTTCAATTTGTCTTCTTTCCGTTTTTCTTCTCTAGATTTTTTATCTTCTGCAAAACTAACACGTCGGCCACTGCTTCCACCTTCTTTAGGTATTGACACCTTTTTTCGCAAACTTTTCATTGGAGAATGGAAACCATCATCGTCTTGGATTCCTGTTTTGATTAATTTTTTTTTGATTTTTCAGAATTTTTCTGATTTTTTTCAGAATTCTTTCAGAATTTTTGTTTTCAGAATTTTTCCAAAATTTTTTGAAACTTTTTACTTACCAGAATCAAGCAAACTCTGAACAGAAGACGAAGTAGAAGCATCCGAATCTTCTGGATACCTATGTTGTTCCATTCTTCTTTCTAAACGAGACTTGCTGCCCCCTTCATCAAGCACATTCTGGACAGTAATAAACACTTCTTCGCTTTGTGTCCCAGCTTCACTATTCATAACCCCCGGTAATTTAGCCACAATTCTATAAACATAACGTCCAGTTTCATAAATTGAACGGTCAATAAATGTTGTTCTTTCAATATTGGCAACTTCTAACCAAAAATCGGTTTCACTACTAGCGGATAAACGTCTCCTTTCGATGCCGTAAAGCATAGCTCTATCAACTTGTTCCCAACTAAGAATAGCTTTTGTTTGAAGACCGTCTGTGCTTACAGTTGGTTTACTTGAAAAAATTTGTTGAGTATTGGATATGGTAGTAGGGTTGTCTGTTCGGAACACAGAGGATTTCTCGGTTCGATTCTGGATATCCAAAGATTTTCCAAGAACCGTCAACCCTATTTGATATTATAAGGTTTTTACCTTGGTCTCTCCAACGGTGGAAGAGTTTCAGAAATCTTCCTTTGTAAAATCTCAGTTGAAGATAATCGTCTTCTAATACCTTCAATCTTCCTTTCCTCTTCCTCATCATCAGATTGTTCTTGTGGCAAATCAACATCAATAGCTTTGCTTGGTTCTGATTCCCCAATTTCATTAAAGGCCAAAACTCTGAAAGCATAGCTTTCACCGGGATAAAGCCCTTGAATTGTATAAACATATTCTCCAGTATCCGTCTTTATTCTCTCAGCATTTTTTCGTTGTAATTGTCTCCATCTTTGTCTTTCTCCAGTTTTTCTTTCAACAATAAAGCTTTCAATAAATTCTTCCCCTTTATAAGACGAATCAGATTCAGCAATATTCCAGTACAGATCAACAGAAGATGAAGTTATGTTACGGACTCGTAGGTTGATGGGAGCAGAAGGAACGTCCAAAACTTTCAAGTCGATGTAAGAGGAATCTTCTCCAAATTCGTTTGAAGCTCGAAGCCATATCTAAATTTGAGGAACAAATTTTTGATTTTTCAAAAATAATATTCTCACCCTTCCACTATGCGATCTTTTCAAACTTCTTATATTTATTGTATGAACTTCACCACAACCAACACCAGCATTTACCACTACTTGTTTTGCATCATTTATAGGGTTATCATTGAGAAGAGTTGAAAGTTTTGGAGTTGGCCAACCTAGAAGATTTGCCGTTACGGTAAATTCATCTCCTCCGATTTTAACTATTCTTTCTTCATGATGATAACGACGCAACTAAAAAATGTTTTGGAGGTAATATTGAGGGAGGGAGGGGTAATATTGAGAGAGGGACTAACCTCAATTTTTGGCGAAACTTCAAATCTCAATTTAGCTGGAGCACTCTTTTCGCCCCCTTCCAATGATATACTGTACTCTCCAATATCAGATTCATCAAAATTGTAAATTTCAAGCAATGCTTTAGTACCCTCAAAGTATGCAAAACACTTTTTACATTGTAGAGGTAATCCATCTTTATACCAAACAACATCTTCTGCGCTTTTAGAAAGATCGGCATAAAGTTGGATTTTCTCCCCATAATGGCAGATTATCCTTCCTTGAGGGGAAAACACAATACGAGCCTTTTCTGGTCTAACAACAATTTCTGTTTGAACTTTCTTATCGGAGCCTGTAGCTGTTTCTATTTCACATGTGTATATGCCTGAATCTTCTTTCATTGCTCCATAAAGAATTAAGCGTCTCTTATAGCCTTGTTGCTCCAATGAAATTCTATTTGTTGTTTCACCAATATGGCGCTTATTTCTGGTCCAACTAACAGAAGCTTCGGGGTCGGAAACCTCACATTCAAGAACTACATCTTTCCCTTCTGTAGCTGTTATTTTTTCTGCGAAGGAGTTGATAAAGTGAGCTTGTACTTTTCCCATACGAATAAATGTTTTTGTTTCAATCATTCCATATTCTAAATATTTTTAATTTAAAAAATTAAATTTTTAATTTATATAATCGGATCTTATTATAAGATACTACCTTGAGGTTGTAAGAACTGTAACTTATAATGAGGTTTCAAATTGGAGGTATCGCTTAGGCACAGAGATGTCACAGGTACCAATAACTCGATGCCCGAAACCCTGACTTTTCCCCCTCTTAATACCTCTAACCAACCCGACCCGGAACCCAACCCGAGACCCGGATTTTTTTTTCGACTCGAAGCCCGACCCGACTTTTCACAATTCGTGGCATCCTTGTTGGGTCTTATTAGGGTTTATCTTATAGTGAGGTCCGACTATAATAATCCAACATACCATTGCTAATCTGGCACGTATAATAACCCTCATCATTTTCACCCATTCTGTGTATAACCAATTTACTTGCATAACCTTCATTACTTATAGAAACATTGTCATATTCTGGAGAGGGTACAATCTCTTCCCCATTCTTTAACCATACAAAGAGAGGTGCAGGTTCACTGACAGCACAAATTTCTAAACAAACTTCTTCTTTTTTGGGTATAAGGGCATCACGTAAAGTTTTGGTTAATATTGGAACATTAAAACCAGAAATTTTAATTATGTCACTTTCGTCTGAAGCAGAGATATCTTCTTTTTCTGTTTCCCCTGTAGAGCGTAAAACAACGCGAACTTTATACGGTACTCCCTCCTTTAGTTCATCCTCAACTATTGCAGGTGACTGCTTGTACTGCTCGAGAACTTCATTCCACAGATATGTTCCCTCAGATCGGTACTATATATAAAAATAATATATTAAAGTTCAATCTCATTACAGGACTCATTCTCATTATAGGAGCTAAAAGTCATTCACTGAAATGAGATTAGACTAATTCTTTTTTAAATTTGTTTGACCACTGGTTGGGAGAAGATGCCACAGCAATATCTTTTTCCTAAACACCATCCTTTGAGATATTCCTAGGCATTCTCTCAACCAGTGATCAAACAAACAGTTGTATGCATTAATGGGTATAGTACTTAAGAGAGTTGACTGTAATTTTAAAATTTTTTTCTAAATTTACACACTTGAACAACAAAATATTTCGGCCCAGCAATACTTCCAAGCCATTCCGGCATTTCCCAGGAGACGCGAACTCGTGTGCCTCCAAGTATAGTAACTTTGGGGGCTGACATTTGTTGGTGTTGAGCTGCATGACTAGCTATGGATTGTTCATCTACTTGAAGAGGTTCAGATACAATATTCGAATCGGAATGCCTATAAATTGAATGAAACTAAGAAAGATTTTCTGAGAAAAGCTCACAATCCAGCATAATTTTGTGCTTCTACTTTAAAAACACATCCATTCTTGCTTGCATCCAAAAATTCATCAACCCAAAAATTTTCAGTAAAAACTGTAGATTCATTCATCTTCTGCCAATCAGCTCCAATTCTGCAGAAAACATCATAACCAAACAAAGGACTACCTCCAGTGTCCCAACATTCGTCCCATTCAAGTCGCACACTGCGTTCATAAGTATGAGAAATGCGGGGAGCTGAGTGCATAACGGGAGCGGAGAAGGGACTGGAAAATATAAAAATTGAGTTGGAAAATACGAGAAATACACTAACGTTCCAGTAGTTATCTGTGCCAATTTGGAAAACTCTCCAACTCCAAATCGGTTAGTTGCAGCAACACGGAATACATAATCCGTGTCATAATCTAGGTCTTCAATAAATATTTCTAGTGAATATGCAGAAAGCTGTCCAACACGCTTTAAAAATTATTTTTTTGTAAAATTTTTTTTTGAAATTTTTTTGAAAGTTGTGAAATTTTTTCGTAAAATTTTTAAATTTTTCTTTTAAAATTTTTTCCACCTGCCAAACTCTTCTATTTGTCCCCTTCTTCTCTATAACATAACCAGTTATTCGTTCTCGTTCGTCACTAACACCGGTTGCTAGAGGTGGATTCCATTTTAGGAAGCAATAATCGTGCCCAACTTCAGTCACCATCTTTTTAAGTTTTTAAAAATTTCTAAAAATTTTTCAAAAATTTTTGTACCAGTCCAGAAGGCGCATCAGGTACATCTCTAACATAAACATCATATTCTAACGAATCCTCCCCGTATTCATTAAACAAAACAAGTTTATAAATTCCTCTATCATGTCGACTTAATTCTCTTCTAGTTACTAAAACAGATTCTTCTAAAATTGTAACATAAGTTCTCAATTCTGGCGTTAACAATTCATTATTTAAATACAAATCGACTTCAGGTTCTGGTAAAGATTTTAGACGGACTTTAAGTGTTAAATTCTCGTTTGCATCAATTACAATACGTTGTAATCCAATATCGGTAAATTCCATCGAGGGTTTACCATGTACTTCTAAAATTGTGGAAGACTCGACTTTGTCAGCACTAATAGTGTATCGGCCACCAAGTTTGTAATCTATTTCTCTTACCAATAAACTACCTAAAAATACACTTGTTTTAAAACATTTGTAAATTTTAAGTGTAAACTTGAATATATTCAAGTTTGTAAAACTTTTTTTAAATAAACTTGATTATTTGGCTGTAAAGAAACAAACTTGAAAACTTAAGTTTGTAAAACTTTTTTAAATAAACTTGATTGTTTGGTTGTAAAGAAACAAACTTGAAAACTTAAGTTTGCTAAATAAACCTTTAAATTTGTTAAGAACAAACTTGAATAAAAAATAAACTTTATTGCTTAAATTTCTAAATGAAAATTCAAGTTTGTAAAACTTGTATAAACTCATTGTAAAACATGTTTTAAAAAAGCTTTTAAAATTTACAAATTGTAAAACTTTTTCAAATTAAACTTTTTAACCTATAAACATTTTACAAATTGTAAACTTATCTAAACATTTCAAAAAACATTTTACAAAAGTTCAAATAAATTACAATCTTAAACTAAACAACTTACATATGCATCCTTCATTTATAATCTGATAAGTATTATCTGTAAATAATGGCTGTCCATTGTGATACCAACTAATGTTTTTAGCACAATCGTGTGTTAAGATAGCAACGATTGTAGCCGTTGTATCCCCAACATTTGCAATAACTTTTCTGGGTAATTTCTCTGCAAATTCGACAGGAACCTCTTCAACTGTCAATTTGCTTTGATGAGTTTGCCCCTCCAAAGTAATTGAAACTTTTAATCCACTATCTTTTGGAACAACATTTTCAATTGTTAATTGTCTAATATAAGCATAATTTTGTATAGAACATCTCCCATCGTTAAATTCATTTAATGATTTCCCATTAATTTGCCATTCAACGGTATCACTCTCATTAAATAATTCACATTCAAACACTACAGTATCCCCTCGTGAAGCAAAGAGTTGAGAATCAGGCAAGGAAACAAAGCCTGAATTTTAAAAATAATGTTTTTTAACCTAAAATGTTTCTCTCACCTTTCCGCATTGTCCGATGTCGAGTAGCTCTAGGAAGCTCCTCAAATGCTTGAACTTCATCAAGTTGTAATCTTTGCATACGACGTTTATTCAGAAACTCTTCAACATCGTCAAACTCTACTTTAGATTCCTCATACCTCCGAGGAGTCAATTCCCTCGGCTTTTCATCCTCTTCTTCAACAAATTCCCATTCCTCTTCTTCCTCTCCAATAGCTTTTCTTGTCTCTACTTTTAATGCTCCAGCCATAACAAATTGGTCATCACCAGTTAAAGATTCACGCGCCTTCTCATCTGGCATCTCATCTTTATCAAATGTTTGTCTCTTCATAGTTTTACGTTTCATTGTCATTTTATCAACATCATCTGCTTCATATTGCATTTTTAGCGCTGCTTCTTCAGCTTTTTCTTTTGTCGATTTTTCATCAGCTAATTTTTTCCCCTGAAAAATTTAAAATAATTTTTTTCTAAAATTTTTAAATATCCAACCTCTTCCTCCTTTTGCTTTTTCACCTTGTCCTCCTCTTCCATCTGTTTTTTCCGCTTCTCTTGTTCTTCCTTTTTAGCAGCCTCTTCAGTTAAAGCTTTAGTCTTAGCTGCTTCCATTTTTCTAACTAATTCCTCTTGTTCTTTCTTAGCATTTTCTTCTTCCTCCTTCCTCTTTTTCAATCTAGATTCCCTTTCTTGATGGAATTTTTCCATTTCTTTTTCTTCATCCTTTGAAGGCCTTTTTTCCTTCTTTTCTTTTTCGACTTCATCAGGCCCAACTTCTCTTTGTGGTGTTTTCTTTTTCTCAGCCTCTTTCTTCTTCTTTTCAGCTTCTTCCAAGTCCTTTCGACGTATCTCTTCCATTTCCTTTTTCTTCTTTTCCTCTTCTTTACTTAAAGGTTTTTTTTCCTTTTTATTTTCTGTAAGACCTAATTTTAGCTGTTTCGCTTCTTCACGTTTCAACCTCATTTCTTCAAGAGCTTTTCGTCTTTCTTCTCTATCATTTGTTAAAGAAGGCTCTTTCGATTCATCTAAAGCATTCTTCCTTGCAGCTTCAGCCTCTTCATTGGCCTTCTGTTCTGCCAATTTTTTATCTTCCAAAGATTTCTTCCGTTTTTCTTCTTCCTCATGCTTCCTCTTTTGTTCATCATCTATCTTCTTTTGAGCAGATTCCTTTCTCTTCCTTGCCAACTCATCCATTTTTGCCTTAGCTTCATCAGCTTCTGCTTTTGCCTTTTCTTCAGCTTCACGTCGTTTCTTCAAGGCTTCTTCACGTTCCTTCTTTCTCTTCTCATCCTCATCTTTCTTAGAATCATCGAGTTTCTTTGGAGGCTCTTCTTTTACTTCTTTTTTCTTTCCTTCCTCATCCTTCTTCTTAGCCAATAATTCATCTCTCCTCTTTTTAGCTTCATCTTCCTTCTTTTTCTTCTCTTCATCTTCCTTTAATTTTTTTTCTTCTGCCAGTTTTTTGGCTTTTTCCTTTTCTTCCTCCATCTTTTTCTTCATTAAGAACATTGGTTCTTTTTTAGTTTCGGGTGTCTTTGCTTCCTCTCCTTTTGGTTGTTTTGCTGGCATTTCTTCCAACTTTGTCTTCTCTAATTTTTCAAATTGTGTTGGCAAATCTTCCTTAACATCCTTGGGTCTTTCATCTTCCAAAACAAACTTTTTAACACCCGTATCAACTTCCTTTTGTTCTTCTAAAGCTTTCTTCCTTGCAGCTTCAGCCTCTTCATTGGCCTTCTGTTCTGCCAATTTTTTATCTTCCAAGGATTTCTTCCGTTTTTGTTCTTCCTCCTGCTTCCTGTTTTGTTCATCATCTATCTTCTTTTGAGCAGATTCCTTTCTCTTCCTTGCCAACTCATCCATTTTTGCCTTAGCTTCATCAGCTTCTGCTTTTGCCTTTTCTTCAGCTTCACGTCGTTTCTTCAAGGCTTCTTCACGTTCCTTCTTTCTCTTCTCATCCTCATCTTTCTTAGAATCATCGAGTTTCTTTGGAGGCTCTTCTTTTACTTCTTTTTTCTTTCCTTCCTCATCCTTCGTCTTAGCCAATAATTCATCTCTCCTCTTTTTAGCTTCATCTTCCTTCTTTCTCTTCGCTTCATCTTCCTTTAATTTTTTTTCTTCCGCCAGTTTTTTGGCTTTTTCCTTTTCTTCCTCCATCTTTTTCTTCATTAAGGACATTGGTTCTTTTTTAGTTTCGGGTGTCTTTGCTTCCTCTCCTTTTGGTTGTTTTGCTGGCATTTCTTCCAACTTTGTCTTCTCTAATTTTTCAAATTGTGTTGGCAAATCTTCCTTAACATCCTTGGGTCTTTCATCTTCCAAAACAAACTTTTTAACACCCGTATCAACTTCCTTTTGTTCTTCTAAAGCTTTCTTCCTTGCAGCTTCAGCCTCTTCATTGGCCTTCTGTTCTGCCAATTTTTTATCTTCCAAGGATTTCTTCCGTTTTTGTTCTTCCTCCTGCTTCCTGTTTTGTTCATCATCTATCTTCTTTTGAGCAGATTCCTTTCTCTTCCTTGCCAACTCATCCATTTTTGCCTTAGCTTCATCAGCTTCTGCTTTTGCCTTTTCTTCAGCTTCACGTCGTTTCTTCAAGGCTTCTTCACGTTCCTTCTTTCTCTTCTCATCCTCATCTTTCTTAGAATCATCGAGTTTCTTTGGAGGCTCTTCTTTTACTTCTTTTTTCTTTCCTTCCTCATCCTTCTTCTTAGCCAATAATTCATCTCTCCTCTTTTTAGCTTCATCTTCCTTCTTTCTCTTCGCTTCATCTTCCTTTAATTTTTTTTCTTCCGCCAGTTTTTTGGCTTTTTCCTTTTCTTCCTCCATCTTTTTCTTCATTAAGGACATTGGTTCTTTTTTAGTTTCGGGTGTCTTTGCTTCCTCTCCTTTTGGTTGTTTTGCTGGCATTTCTTCCAACTTTGTCTTCTCTAATTTTTCAAATTGTGTTGGCAAATCTTCCTTAACATCCTTGGGTCTTTCATCTTCCAAAACAAACTTTTTAACACCCGTATCAACTTCCTTTTGTTCTTCTAAAGCTTTCTTCCTTGCAGCTTCAGCCTCTTCATTGGCCTTCTGTTCTGCCAATTTTTTATCTTCCAAGGATTTCTTCCGTTTTTGTTCTTCCTCCTGCTTCCTGTTTTGTTCATCATCTATCTTCTTTTGAGCAGATTCCTTTCTCTTCCTTGCCAACTCATCCATTTTTGCCTTAGCTTCATCAGCTTCTGCTTTTGCCTTTTCTTCAGCTTCACGTCGTTTCTTCAAGGCTTCTTCACGTTCCTTCTTTCTCTTCTCATCCTCATCTTTCTTAGAATCATCGAGTTTCTTTGGAGGCTCTTCTTTTACTTCTTTTTTCTTTCCTTCCTCATCCTTCTTCTTAGCCAATAATTCATCTCTCCTCTTTTTAGCTTCATCTTCCTTCTTTCTCTTCGCTTCATCTTCCTTTAATTTTTTTTCTTCCGCCAGTTTTTTGGCTTTTTCCTTTTCTTCCTCCATCTTTTTCTTCATTAAGGACATTGGTTCTTTTTTAGTTTCGGGTGTCTTTGCTTCCTCTCCTTTTGGTTGTTTTGCTGGCATTTCTTCCAACTTTGTCTTCTCTAATTTTTCAAATTGTGTTGGCAAATCTTCCTTAACATCCTTGGGTCTTTCATCTTCCAAAACAAACTTTTTAACACCCGTATCAACTTCCTTTTGTTCTTCTAAAGCTTTCTTCCTTGCAGCTTCAGCCTCTTCATTGGCCTTCTGTTCTGCCAATTTTTTATCTTCCAATGATTTCTTCCGTTTTTGTTCTTCCTCCTGCTTCCTGTTTTGTTCATCATCTATCTTCTTTTGAGCAGATTCCTTTCTCTTCCTTGCCAACTCATCCATTTTTGCCTTAGCTTCATCAGCTTCTGCTTTTGCCTTTTCTTCAGCTTCACGTCGTTTCTTCAAGGCTTCTTCACGTTCCTTCTTTCTCTTCTCATCCTCATCTTTCTTAGAATCATCGAGTTTCTTTGGAGGCTCTTCTTTTACTTCTTTTTTCTTTCCTTCCTCATCCTTCTTCTTAGCCAATAATTCATCTCTCCTCTTTTTAGCTTCATCTTCCTTCTTTCTCTTCGCTTCATCTTCCTTTAATCTCTTCTCTTCCGCCAGTTTTTTGGCTTTTTCCTTTTCTTCCTCCATCTTTTTCTTCATTAAGGACATTGGTTCTTTTTTAGTTTCGGGTGTCTTTGCTTCCTCTCCTTTTGGTTGTTTTGCTGGCATTTCTTCCAAATTTGTCTTCTCTAATTTTTCAAAGTGTGTTGGCAAATCTTCCTTAACATCCTTGGGTCTTTCATCTTCCAAAACAAACTTTTTAACACCCGTATCAACTTCCTTTTGTTCTTCTAAAGCTTTCTTCCTTGCAGCTTCAGCCTCTTCATTGGCCTTCTGTTCTGCCAATTTTTTATCTTCCAATGATTTCTTCCGTTTTTGTTCTTCCTCCTGCTTCCTGTTTTGTTCATCATCTATCTTCTTTTGAGCAGATTCCTTTCTCTTCCTTGCCAACTCATCCATTTTTGCCTTAGCTTCATCAGCTTCTGCTTTTGCCTTTTCTTCAGCTTCACGTCGTTTCTTCAAGGCTTCTTCACGTTCCTTCTTTCTCTTCTCATCCTCATCTTTCTTAGAATCATCGAGTTTCTTTGGAGGCTCTTCTTTTACTTCTTTTTTCTTTCCTTCCTCATCCTTCTTCTTAGCCAATAATTCATCTCTCCTCTTTTTAGCTTCATCTTCCTTCTTTCTCTTCGCTTCATCTTCCTTTAATTTTTTTTCTTCCGCCAGTTTTTTGGCTTTTTCCTTTTTTTCCTCCATCTTTTTCTTCATTAAGGACATTGGTTCTTTTTTAGTTTCGGGTGTCTTTGCTTCCTCTCCTTTTGGTTGTTTTGCTGGCATTTCTTCCAACTTTGTCTTCTCTAATTTTTCAAATTGTGTTGGCAAATCTTCCTTAACATCCTTGGGTCTTTCATCTTCCAAAACAAACTTTTTAACACCCGTATCAACTTTCTTTTGTTCTTCTAAAGCTTTCTTCCTTGCAGCTTCAGCCTCTTCATTGGCCTTCTGTTCTGCCAATTTTTTATCTTCCAAGGATTTCTTCCGTTTTTGTTCTTCCTCCTGCTTCCTGTTTTGTTCATCATCTATCTTCTTTTGAGCAGATTCCTTTCTCTTCCTTGCCAACTCATCCATTTTTGCCTTAGCTTCATCAGCTTCTGCTTTTGCCTTTTCTTCAGCTTCACGTCGTTTCTTCAAGGCTTCTTCACGTTCCTTCTTTCTCTTCTCATCCTCATCTTTCTTAGAATCATCGAGTTTCTTTGGAGGCTCTTCTTTTACTTCTTTTTTCTTTCCTTCCTCATCCTTCTTCTTAGCCAATAATTCATCTCTCCTCTTTTTAGCTTCATCTTCCTTCTTTTTCTTCTCTTCATCTTCCTTTAATTTTTTTTCTTCTGCCAGTTTTTTGGCTTTTTCCTTTTCTTCCTCCATCTTTTTCTTCATTAAGAACATTGGTTCTTTTTTAGTTTCGGGTGTCTTTGCTTCCTCTCCTTTTGGTTGTTTTGCTGGCATTTCTTCCAACTTTGTCTTCTCTAATTTTTCAAATTGTGTTGGCAAATCTTCCTTAACATCCTTGGGTCTTTCATCTTCCAAAACAAACTTTTTAACACCCGTATCAACTTTCTTTTGTTCTTCTAAAGCTTTCTTCCTTGCAGCTTCAGCCTCTTCATTGGCCTTCTGTTCTGCCAATTTTTTATCTTCCAAAGATTTCTTCCGTTTTTCTTCTTCCTCATGCTTCCTCTTTTGTTCATCATCTATCTTCTTTTGAGCAGATTCCTTTCTCTTCCTTGCCAATTCATCCATTTTTGCCTTAGCTTCATCAGCTTCTGCTTTTGCCTTTTCTTCAGCTTCACGTCGTTTCTTCAAGGCTTCTTCACGTTCCTTCTTTCTCTTCTCATCCTCATCTTTCTTAGAATCATTGAGTTTCTTTGGAGGCTCTTCTTTTACTTCTTTTTTCTTTCCTTCCTCATCCTTCTTCTTAGCCAATAATTCATCTCTCCTCTTTTTAGCTTCATCTTCCTTCTTTCTCTTCGCTTCATCTTCCTTTAATTTTTTTTCTTCTGCCAGTTTTTTGGCTTTTTCCTTTTCTTCCTCCATCTTTTTCTTCATTAAGGACATTGGTTCTTTTTTAGTTTCGGGTGTCTTTGCTTCCTCTCCTTTTGGTTGTTTTGCTGGCATTTCTTCCAACTTTGTCTTCTCTAATTTTTCAAATTGTGTTGGCAAATCTTCCTTAACATCCTTGGGTCTTTCATCTTCCAAAACAAACTTTTTAACACCCGTATCAACTTCCTTTTGTTCTTCTAAAGCTTTCTTCCTTGCAGCTTCAGCCTCTTCATTGGCCTTCTGTTCTGCCAATTTTTTATCTTCCAATGATTTCTTCCGTTTTTGTTCTTCCTCCTGCTTCCTTATCTGTTTTTCATCTAAGACTTTTGGCGTATCTTTCTTTACATCTATTGGTACTTCAGTAGAAGATTCTATTTCAACATTTTCTGGAATAATTTCTCCAGCTTTTTCTGGGATTATTTCTTCATCTTTTTCTGTAATCTTCATTATATCTTTTTCTTCAATAATTTCCTTAGGTTCTTTTATCTTGTCTTCAGGCCTTCCAAACTCTTCGTGTTTTGGTTCCCTCTCAAATACATCAATTTCCACTTCAGCACCCAAGAAGTCTTCCACTTTCTTCAAATCATTAAGCAACTCAGGCAAAGATTTTCCTTCAGGATGTATTTCATCAAGAAGTTCAAATGAGGATTTTTGTGCTAATTTAAGACGAGAGCTTTTATCTTCCTTTTCTGTTGCATCTTCGGAGATTTTTTCTTCAAGATTTACATCTTGAGCAAAGCTGACTTTTTGTTTATCTTCTTTGGGTTCCGAAGCTTGTTTTATTTCCAAATCCCTTTGAGATGGAAGATCTTTAAAGTCTTCCTTCTTTACTTCCTCCTCTCTTTTCTTCGCCAATAACTCATCCTTCTTTTTCTTGGCTTCGTCTTCCTTCTTTTTCTTCTCTTCATCCTCCTTTAATTTCTTCTCTTCCGCTAATTTTTTGGCCTTTTCCTCTTCGATCTTTTTCTTCAAGTCTGGTTCTTTTTTTATTTCTTCATCTTTCTTCTCATCCTTCACTTTTATTTTATTTTTTACTGGTTCTTTCTCCATTTCTTTCGATTTTTCTTCTTCAGATTTAACTTCAATTACCTCTAATTCTTTTGAAGTTGGAGAAATCTTTACAGAAGGATCACCGTACAATGAATTGATTTCCTAAGAACAAAAATTTGGAGAGATTAAAAATTTTTTAAGGCTTGCCTTTGGTATAAACAAAGCACTAGGAATCTTCTTTTTCTTCTTTTCTTCATCCCTTTTTTCTCCTGGAATTTTGGGAGAATCGGGAGCAGTTTCTTCTTGTTGGAGTTTTTGTTGTTCTGTTAAAAAATTTTTTTAAATATTATTTTTCCAAAAAATTTTTTTCTTATACCTATTTTATTTTAAATATTTATTTTTTTTATTTTTTAAATTTAAAAATTTTTATATTTAGGGTTAAATTTGCGATTAAACTAAATTAGACTAAAAATAGAGAACATAAAACATCTAAAAACATGCTTAAAAACAAGTATGCAAACATAATTTTGCCAAACAAAGTTTAAATAAAATATAAACAAAACATAAAACAAACATAAAAACAACACACCTTTATCAAAAACTTTTTTGTTTAACAAAGAAACATTGGGCAAAACATTAAACAAAACATTCAAAACAACATGTTTTGTAATTATTTCACCAAAAACATTAATTGCCTGAAGAACAATAATATCTCCAACATGTATGAGTTTTAAACTTTTTTGTAAAAGAGTTACTCCAAGTTTGTTTTGTTGTAATCGTTCAAGTTTAAACTGAAAAACAAGTTTAATAAAAACAAATAAAAACATTAAAAACAAACAAAACATTTAAAACAAACTTTTCTCCAAGGCTCTATTATTTTAAATGTTCCACTTTGTTTTTCTATCCACATTTCTATATGAGGCAAAGGATCTCCTTCAATTACAAAATTTAAAAATTCTTTTCCAATTAAATTTAATTCTAAATTTTCTGGTGGTTTTTCAATTATTTTTGGGGTTTTATTAAAGTTTTGAGAAGGCAAGTCTTGTGTTGTTTCAACATCATTTGTTGTAATTTTAATTTGTTTTAATGTTTTATTGGTGTTTGTTGATGTTTTTGGTGTTGTTTCTGTTGTTGCTTTTTCTTCTTTTTGCAAAACATCTACAAAAACAAAAAATATGTTTTTGTTGTAAAGCAAACAAACAATGTTTGCTGTTTGTCGTAAAACAACAAACATTGTAAAACAAATAAAACATTTTGTCTATTCCAAAACATTTTACAACAAACATATTTACCTAAATTTGAAACTATTTCTTCCTCTTCTTTCAATTTCAATGTAATTTTTGATTTATCAAATCCTCCTTCATTGCTAGCAATAAAAACATAATCCCCAACAAGTTCAGTATCAAAGTTGGGGAATATTAACATAATCTCCCAACAATCGCCATTTTTATCAACAAGAAATCGGCACTTGGAAGGGTCATCACCTAGATGCATATCGTTGTGATAAATTGACATCTGAATTTTTTTATATCTCAAAAATAATTTTTATGATCAACCTTAGGTTCTACAGCTGAGATAAGTTCCAAATGAACAAATAACCTTTTATTTAATTCTGCTACAATTTCCCTTTCTTTTGTTAAAAATTTGGGAGGAGAAATTAATGAAGGGCCTTCCTCTCTCTCCTCATTAGCTTCTTCCTCCTCCTCCTCGGAAGAGCAATTAAAAGGTGAAAAACAAAATTCTTTTGATTTTTCAATATTAAAACGAACAGACTTCTTTAATGGGCATGCTTCTATTGCTTCAATTCTTCTTTTCATTTTTTTCTCATCAAATTCGAAAATTGTAACATTTGGGGGTGGAAGCACTTTCAAAGGTTTAGCACAGTCATATTCAAAATGTCTTGATAATAAAAACACTTCGATTGCTTCATCTTCAGTTAGGGACTTTTGGAATGTTTCAGATAAATTTGTAAGTGAGGATGGGCTAAAATTAGAAGCAGATAGTTGGGAGGAATTTAATGACTCTTTATCCTCAGTTTCATGTCTGTCTCTGAGTTTTTGTATTATTTGTTTAACTAAAGTGTTGCTATCTGCTAGGTTCTCGTCTTGCTTTTCGATTTTTTTAGAATAATTTATTGGTCTATTAATTTCAGATTCCAATTTCGTTGATTGTAAATCATTAACGTCAAATTTTGCTTCAGTTTTATTATCTTGAAACCTTGTTTCTTGAACTTCTAATTTTGTTTCAGCTTCATTCACCTGAAACTTTGCCTCTTGGATATTGAGTTTTGTTTCAGCTTCATTCTTCTGAAGTAGTAGAGCTTCGAATTTTTCTTCTGCTTCGTTCTTCTGAAGCATTACTTCTTCGTCGAGTTTTGCTTCAGCTTTATCCTTTTGAAACTTTGCTTCTTGAACTTCAAGTTTTGTTTCAGCTTCATTCTTCTGAAGTAGTAGAGCTTCGAATTTTTCTTCTGCTTCGTTCTTCTGAAGCATTACTTCTTCGTCGAGTTTTGCTTCAGCTTTATCCTTTTGAAACTTTGCTTCTTGAACTTCAAGTTTTGTTTCAGCTTCATTCTTCTGAAGTAGTAGAGCTTCGAATTTTTCTTCTGCTTCGTTCTTCTGAAGCATTACTTCTTCGTCGAGTTTTGCTTCAGCTTTATCCTTTTGAAACTTTGCTTCTTGAACTTCAAGTTTTGTTTCAGCTTCATTCTTCTGAAGCAGCACTTCTTTAACTTCAAGCTTTGCTTCATCTTCATTCTTCTGAAACTTTGTTTTTCGAATATCAAGGGTTGCTTCAACTATTAACTTTCGTTTATCTTCAGATTTATGTGTTGTCCCAGAGTTTGCTTCAGATTTAGTACTTGTTAATTCGAATTTAATTGGGTTTGAAGACTCGTTGTCTCCTTTTCTATTTGGTTTTCTATAATTTTTTTGTCGTATCATTGTTTCAGATTCAATTGTTTCTGGTTTGATTGCCTCAGCTTTAGTAATTGCTTCAGATGTAGTAATTGCTTTAGCTGCTTCAGATTTAGTAATTATTTCGGTTGCTTCAGATTTTGTATTTGCTTCAAGTTCAGTAAGTGCTTCAGTTTTATTAATCACTTCAGATTCAGTAATTACTTTCGATTTACTTGCTTCAGTTTTGTGTGCTTCTTTCTTCATTGTTTTTGTTTTATTTGTACTTTCTTCCGATTTACTTAATTCTTTTTTATGTGTTTTTGCTTCAGAACAAGTAATATTAATTATTTCTGATTTACTTTTCACAGTTGCCTCTTTTTTATTTGTTTCATAGTTTGTTCTCATTGATTCTTGCTCTTTTATTTTAGTTCCTTTTTTATCCTCAGATACCTCTAACAAACTCTCTGTTTTTATTACATTTTTATTTGAACCATATTCTTGCCTAGATGAATTCTGCTTCAACTCTTTCTTCTTCAATTGTCTTGCTTCAGAATTTTGATTTACTTCCTTCAACTCAGAATTGTCTTTCATAAATGTTTCAAAATATGCTTCTTCAGAATGCTTCAGTTTTAAATATATATTTGATTCTTCTGATTCGGAAACATGCTTCAACTCCAAATCTGACTTCATTTCATTTATTAATTTTGTTTCATGTACTTTCTCTATATCCTTTAAATTCGATTTGATTCCAGTTTTTTCATCAACAACTTCCTTTGTTTCTTCCTGTTTCAACTTTAATGGTTCAACGACTGATTTAGTTGCTTCAAGTCTTTTTGTTTCAGATTTGATTACTTTCTGTTCTTTTGTTTCATATTTAATTAATTCGAGTATTTCTGCTTCATCTTTACTTTTTGCTTCATCTTTACTTTTTGCTTCATATTTACTTTTTGCTTCATATTTACTTTTTGCTTCATATTTACTTTTTGCTTCATATTTACTTTTTGCTTCGTCCTTACTCCCTGAATTAATTAATTTTGTTGCTTCAACAATTGTCTTATTTTTTCCTTCATCATCCTCTTTTTTCTCGAAATTTTTCCATTTTCCACCACTCTTTAATGATTCAAAAACATTTTCATAAGCATAATTATTTGCTTCAATATTTTGTAAATAATTTTTAATAAAATCTGTAGATTTTTCTTTTTTCATTAAATTCTTAATTTTTGTTTCGACACATATAGAAGAAGATTCCTTATTTTCAAAAATTAAATTTTCAGTAATTATTTCATTTTTAATTTTTGTTTTTGGCATTGAATGTCGTCTTAATTTGTTGCCAACTTTAATTAAAAATAATATTTTTAAAATTAAAAGAAAAATTAGGGGTTGCTCATGAATAGAGATAATGGATTAATATGTAGACTATTGACTTTTACAAAAATTTTGTTTGGAATTTAAAAGTTATCGAGATCAAGCTGAAATTTTCGAATAATTGAGTATCTTTTTTTTATTTTTCCAGAATTGTTAAATTTAATTTTTATCAAGATTTTCTTTTTTTGCTTCAATTTAGGGGTTAAATGAGCAACTTACTAATTTATTTATTAAAAATAATTTAATAAAATTTCGACTTACTACACCAAAAATAACCCTATAAAATGTATAAAATGAACCGTCATTTAAATTTGTTAATATAAAAAAATTAAAAAAAAACAGCAAAAACATGTTAATATACTTAAAACAAAAAAATTAATTGTGCTTAGTATTAAATATTTAATTTATAAATTAAAAATAATATTTTTTGTATAATTTATAATATTTTTAAAATTAATTTCAATATATTTTTATGTAGAAATTTTTGTTAAAATTTCTAAATTTTCTAAAAATATTTTTAATATTTTTCAAAATTATTAACATACCACCAATAGCATTTTCAACATCAATAATATCTAAAAAATATTTTTTTATATTAAATTAATTTTTTATATAAAGTTTTGATAAAAGTTTAAAAAATTAAAAAGTTCGCGCCTCAAAAAGTTTACATCTTTATGCTTCATATAAAATAATAATTATTTTTCTTGTTTTTTCCTACATATTTTTTTGTTTGTACACACTTTAACTTATGTACAGCAGCTTCATATGATTTTTAAAAATGCTAATAGAAGAGTTAAAACAACTAACTAAAAGCTAATAGAGATATTCTATGTTTACTTAAAGTAAAAAATATATGTATATCTCTCTTAATGATTGATTTTAATAAGTAAAAAATGTTGTAAAAAATAAAAAAAAGGATATGCGAAATTAAAAAAAATTTAAATTTAATGTAAAAAAATAAAAAATTTCCCGATACTAGACCGTCTAAGCTCAACGCCATAATACCGTTCAACTTTCAGTGTTGAGATTTTGTTCTAGTTTAATAAACATCCATTTTTATTACCAATTTACCGAGAAATTAAAAAATTTTTTTGTCACCTTTCTCCTCCTTTGCAATTTTTTCTTTTTCTTCTGCCACTTTTGCTAAACTAATCCTTTCAGAAATATCCTAAAAATTAATTTTGAAATTTTAAAGAATTTCCCAAAAACCTTCAAGTTAGGTGAAATAGGCAAAATAGCTTCAATTTTATCATCTTTCTTCAAATCTTCCAAAACTACATCAACATCCATAAAGTCTTCTTCTGCTAATTGAACTGATGTTTCACTTTCTGCATACTCGATTTGTTCTAATTCGATTATCCCGTCAGTACTAGAAGCTTCTTCACCTGCTTCAATGTCCACGTCAACGTTTAGGTATTGAGTGCCTAAAAAAGGATTATAAAAGAATTTTAAAAATTATTTGAGTAGAATTCACACACCAACTTTACTATAAGACTGTCGGACCTCATAATAGGACAAGCCCAAATACATTATTATAGGGTATACCGTATTTTCTCGATTAATTCCCCTGGGGAATTAATATTTCAACTCATCCGTGGGATTTCTCGAACCCATACCTGGCATTCGAGAAATGGGAATTATTCGAGGGAGGGGAATTATTCAGGTTTTGACATGTGAACGTGCAGCAGGGTATTTGGGGTTGGGGAATTATTGTTTCAACCCATACCTGGCATGGAGAATTAATCGAGATTGGGGAATTATACGAAAAGACATCTCTCAATTTAAGTTATATATTTAAAATTTTGGTGGCAATTGGGTTAAGGAAGCTTAAGCGATGCCCTCGAATTAAAAAGATAGGGGATCTCGCTACAATTACAACCAACACTACTATGTATATCCTACTAGATTTCAACAAAAAAGTTTTCTCACCTCTTGGACTCTTGTCCCGACTAATTTTATTTATATCAAGTTGAGATGTTTGAACAGTCAACTCTTCCATCTCCTCACCCTCTTCTTTTTGCTTCTTTACTTGTTTCTTTACTTTTCGTTTTCTCTTTTCTGGTGCCTCAACTTTTTTAGGAATCTCTTCAGGAATCTCTTCTGGTTTAGCTTCAGTAAGCTCAATTGAAGCAGAATCAAAGTCAGAATAAACAAATATTAATTCATTGAATTCTTCTTCTAGTTCACGAATCAAATGTTCTTCCATTTCGATTTCATTTATTTTCATATCGGAATTGAAGCAAACACCGATACCTATGCGTTCAGTCTTCATTTTTTTCTGACGGAAAATTTTTGAGATTTCAGTAAAGTAATCTTGGTCATAATCTTCTTTACATATAAGGCAACTGAGTGGGAATTCAAATTGTTCATGAAGAGGTGAAAGAGACACATCAAGCTCTATGGAATTTCTAATTTTTGATAGTTTCTTCATAGCCAATTCAGCTATCTGTTTAGCTTCAGTTTCAGCTTTCTTTTTAGCATCATCTAACTTTTGCTTATCTTGCTTCTGTTTAGCTTCAAGTTCAGCTTTTTGTTTTGTTGCCTCGGCTTCAGCCTTTTGCTTAGCTTCAGTTTCAGCCTTTTGTTTAGCTTCAGTTTCAGCTTTCTTTTTAGCATCATCTAACTTTTGCTTATCTTGCTTCTGTTTAGCTTCAAGTTCAGCTTTTTGTTTTGTTGCCTCGGCTTCAGCCTTTTGCTTAGCTTCAGTTTCAGCCTTTTGTTTAGCTTCAGTTTCAGCTTTCTTTTTAGCATCATCTAACTTTTGCTTATCTTGCTTCTGTTTAGCTTCAAGTTCAGCTTTTTGTTTTGTTGCCTCGGCTTCAGCCTTTTGCTTAGCTTCAGTTTCAGCCTTTTGTTTAGCTTCAGTTTCAGCTTTCTTTTTAGCATCATCTAACTTTTGCTTATCTTGCTTCTGTTTAGCTTCAAGTTCAGCTTTTTGTTTTGTTGCCTCGGCTTCAGCCTTTTGCTTAGCTTCAGTTTCAGCCTTTTGTTTAGCTTCAGTTTCAGCTTTCTTTTTAGCATCATCTAACTTTTGCTTATCTTGCTTCTGTTTAGCTTCAAGTTCAGCTTTTTGTTTTGTTGCCTCGGCTTCAGCCTTTTGCTTAGCTTCAGTTTCAGCCTTTTGTTTAGCTTCAGTTTCAGCTTTCTTTTTAGCATCATCTAACTTTTGCTTATCTTGCTTCTGTTTAGCTTCAAGTTCAGCTTTTTGTTTTGTTGCCTCGGCTTCAGCCTTTTGCTTAGCTTCAGTTTCAGCCTTTTGTTTAGCTTCAGTTTCAGCTTTCTTTTTAGCATCATCTAACTTTTGCTTATCTTGCTTCTGTTTAGCTTCAAGTTCAGCTTTTTGTTTTGTTGCCTCGGCTTCAGCCTTTTGCTTAGCTTCAGTTTCAGCCTTTTGTTTAGCATCATCTAACTTTTGCTTATCTTGCTTCTGTTTAGCTTCAAGTTCAGCTTTTTGTTTTGTTGCCTCGGCTTCAGCCTTTTGCTTAGCTTCAGTTTCAGCCTTTTGTTTAGCTTCAGTTTCAGCTTTCTTTTTAGCATCATCTAACTTTTGCTTATCTTGCTTCTGTTTAGCTTTAAGTTCAGCTTTTTGTTTTGTTGCCTCGGCTTCAGCCTTTTGCTTAGCTTCAGTTTCAGCCTTTTGTTTAGCTTCAGTTTCAGCTTTCTTTTTAGCATCATCTAACTTTTGCTTATCTTGCTTCTGTTTAGCTTCAAGTTCAGCTTTTTGTTTTGTTGCCTCGGCTTCAGCCTTTTGCTTAGCTTCAGTTTCAGCCTTTTGTTTAGCTTCAGTTTCAGCTTTCTTTTTAGCATCATCTAACTTTTGCTTATCTTGCTTCTGTTTAGCTTCAAGTTCAGCTTTTTGTTTTGTTGCCTCGGCTTCAGCCTTTTGCTTAGCTTCAGTTTCAGCCTTTTGTTTAGCTTCAGTTTCAGCTTTCTTTTTAGCATCATCTAACTTTTGCTTATCTTGCTTCTGTTTAGCTTCAAGTTCAGCTTTTTGTTTTGTTGCCTCGGCTTCAGCCTTTTGCTTAGCTTCAGTTTCAGCCTTTTGTTTAGCTTCAGTTTCAGCTTTCTTTTTAGCATCATCTAACTTTTGCTTATCTTGCTTCTGTTTAGCTTCAAGTTCAGCTTTTTGTTTTGTTGCCTCGGCTTCAGCCTTTTGCTTAGCTTCAGTTTCAGCCTTTTGTTTAGCTTCAGTTTCAGCTTTCTTTTTAGCATCATCTAACTTTTGCTTATCTTGCTTCTGTTTAGCTTCAAGTTCAGCTTTTTGTTTTGTTGCCTCGGCTTCAGCCTTTTGCTTAGCTTCAGTTTCAGCCTTTTGTTTAGCTTCAGTTTCAGCCTTTTGTTTAGCTTCAGTTTCAGCTTTCTTTTTAGCATCATCTAACTTTTGCTTATCTTGCTTCTGTTTAGCTTCAAGTTCAGCTTTTTGTTTTGTTGCCTCGGCTTCAGCCTTTTGCTTAGCTTCAGTTTCAGCCTTTTGTTTAGCTTCAGTTTCAGCTTTCTTTTTAGCATCATCTAACTTTTGCTTATCTTGCTTCTGTTTAGCTTCAAGTTCAGCTTTTTGTTTTGTTGCCTCGGCTTCAGCCTTTTGCTTAGATTCAGTTTCAGCCTTTTGTTTAGCTTCAGTTTCAGCTTTCTTTTTAGCATCATCTAACTTTTGCTTATCTTGCTTCTGTTTAGCTTCAAGTTCAGCTTTTTGTTTTGTTGCCTCGGCTTCAGCCTTTTGCTTAGCTTCAGTTTCAGCCTTTTGTTTAGCTTCAGTTTCAGCTTTCTTTTTAGCATCATCTAACTTTTGCTTATCTTGCTTCTGTTTAGCTTCAAGTTCAGCTTTTTGTTTTGTTGCCTCGGCTTCAGCCTTTTGCTTAGCTTCAGTTTCAGCCTTTTGTTTAGCTTCAGTTTCAGCTTTCTTTTTAGCATCATCTAACTTTTGCTTATCTTGCTTCTGTTTAGCTTCAAGTTCAGCTTTTTGTTTTGTTGCCTCGGCTTCAGCCTTTTGCTTAGCTTCAGTTTCAGCCTTTTGTTTAGCTTCAGTTTCAGCTTTCTTTTTAGCATCATCTAACTTTTGCTTATCTTGCTTCTGTTTAGCTTCAAGTTCAGCTTTTTGTTTTGTTGCCTCGGCTTCAGCCTTTTGCTTAGCTTCAGTTTCAGCCTTTTGTTTAGCTTCAGTTTCAGCTTTCTTTTTAGCATCATCTAACTTTTGCTTATCTTGCTTCTGTTTAGCTTCAAGTTCAGCTTTTTGTTTTGTTGCCTCGGCTTCAGCCTTTTGCTTAGCTTCAGTTTCAGCCTTTTGTTTAGCTTCAGTTTCAGCCTTTTGTTTAGCTTCAGTTTCAGCTTTCTTTTTAGCATCATCTAACTTTTGCTTATCTTGCTTCTGTTTAGCTTCAAGTTCAGCTTTTTGTTTTGTTGCCTCGGCTTCAGCCTTTTGCTTAGCTTCAGTTTCAGCTTTCTTTTTAGCATCATCTAACTTTTGCTTATCTTGCTTCTGTTTAGCTTCAAGTTCAGCTTTTTGTTTTGTTGCCTCGGCTTCAGCCTTTTGCTTAGCTTCAGTTTCAGCCTTTTGTTTAGCTTCAGTTTCAGCTTTCTTTTTAGCATCATCTAACTTTTGCTTATCTTGCTTCTGTTTAGCTTCAAGTTCAGCTTTTTGTTTTGTTGCCTCGGCTTCAGCCTTTTGCTTAGCTTCAGTTTCAGCCTTTTGTTTAGCTTCAGTTTCAGCTTTCTTTTTAGCATCATCTAACTTTTGCTTATCTTGCTTCTGTTTAGCTTCAAGTTCAGCTTTTTGTTTTGTTGCCTCGGCTTCAGCCTTTTGCTTAGCTTCAGTTTCAGCCTTTTGTTTAGCTTCAGTTTCAGCTTTCTTTTTAGCATCATCTAACTTTTGCTTATCTTGCTTCTGTTTAGCTTCAAGTTCAGCTTTTTGTTTTGTTGCCTCGGCTTCAGCCTTTTGCTTAGCTTCAGTTTCAGCCTTTTGTTTAGCTTCAGTTTCAGCTTTCTTTTTAGCATCATCTAACTTTTGCTTATCTTGCTTCTGTTTAGCTTCAAGTTCAGCTTTTTGTTTTGTTGCCTCGGCTTCAGCCTTTTGCTTAGCTTCAGTTTCAGCCTTTTGTTTAGCTTCAGTTTCAGCTTTCTTTTTAGCATCATCTAACTTTTGCTTATCTTGCTTCTGTTTAGCTTCAAGTTCAGCTTTTTGTTTTGTTGCCTCGGCTTCAGCCTTTTGCTTAGCTTCAGTTTCAGCCTTTTGTTTAGCTTCAGTTTCAGCTTTCTTTTTAGCATCATCTAACTTTTGCTTATCTTGCTTCTGTTTAGCTTCAAGTTCAGCTTTTTGTTTTGTTGCCTCGGCTTCAGCCTTTTGCTTAGCTTCAGTTTCAGCCTTTTGTTTAGCTTCAGTTTCAGCTTTCTTTTTAGCATCATCTAACTTTTGCTTATCTTGCTTCTGTTTAGCTTCAAGTTCAGCTTTTTGTTTTGTTGCCTCGGCTTCAGCCTTTTGCTTAGCTTCAGTTTCAGCCTTTTGTTTAGCTTCAGTTTCAGCTTTCTTTTTAGCATCATCTAACTTTTGCTTATCTTGCTTCTGTTTAGCTTCAAGTTCAGCTTTTTGTTTTGTTGCCTCGGCTTCAGCCTTTTGCTTAGCTTCAGTTTCAGCCTTTTGTTTAGCTTCAGTTTCAGCTTTCTTTTTAGCATCATCTAACTTTTGCTTATCTTGCTTCTGTTTAGCTTCAAGTTCAGCTTTTTGTTTTGTTGCCTCGGCTTCAGCCTTTTGCTTAGCTTCAGTTTCAGCCTTTTGTTTAGCTTCAGTTTCAGCTTTCTTTTTAGCATCATCTAACTTTTGCTTATCTTGCTTCTGTTTAGCTTCAAGTTCAGCTTTTTGTTTTGTTGCCTCGGCTTCAGCCTTTTGCTTAGCTTCAGTTTCAGCCTTTTGTTTAGCTTCAGTTTCAGCTTTCTTTTTAGCATCATCTAACTTTTGCTTATCTTGCTTCTGTTTAGCTTCAAGTTCAGCTTTTTGTTTTGTTGCCTCGGCTTCAGCCTTTTGCTTAGCTTCAGTTTCAGCCTTTTGTTTAGCTTCAGTTTCAGCTTTCTTTTTAGCATCATCTAACTTTTGCTTATCTTGCTTCTGTTTAGCTTCAAGTTCAGCTTTTTGTTTTGTTGCCTCGGCTTCAGCCTTTTGCTTAGCTTCAGTTTCAGCCTTTTGTTTAGCTTCAGTTTCAGCTTTCTTTTTAGCATCATCTAACTTTTGCTTATCTTGCTTCTGTTTAGCTTCAAGTTCAGCTTTTTGTTTTGTTGCCTCGGCTTCAGCCTTTTGCTTAGCTTCAGTTTCAGCCTTTTGTTTAGCTTCAGTTTCAGCTTTCTTTTTAGCATCATCTAACTTTTGCTTATCTTGCTTCTGTTTAGCTTCAAGTTCAGCTTTTTGTTTTGTTGCCTCGGCTTCAGCCTTTTGCTTAGCTTCAG